GCATGCATGCACGCACGCACGTGTGTGTGTGTGTATATATGTCTGTCTGTCTGTCTGTCTGTCTGTCTCCTTGGCAGCACACTGACCGGCCATGGTAAAGCTAATGTGTTGCGGCTAATGAGTTGCGGCTTGTGATTCCTGGCACTGCTTCTCCTTTCCGAGGATGTGTTTGGCCCCTACGTGCGCTGTTATCTGATGCTCGGCTACTGGGGCAATGCTGGATCGACTTGGCTCACGTGTCGACAGAGAGGGCTCTGCGTGGCCGCTGTGGCACTCGTGCAATATGTTCACCACCACTGCTCTAGATCATATCCAAAAAGGTGTGAAAGCCCAATCTGCTTTTACCTCAACGAAACACGTTCACCCCTGCCAGCAACACAAGCCTACAAAGTGCCAGCCAGAATCTGCTCTGAATGCCTGTCTAGACTACAGCCTCCAACTTCCTTTCAGCCTAGAGAACCCTTCCAATCTTAGTACCATCAATCAGCATGGGATGGGCACCCTGACCTGTCCAAATGCCATCTCTGACTTGCACAGAGAGGCCCGACTACCTCATGCAAAGAGGCCCCTCTCCCATCGGCTCCGATCCTTCCTCCGCTAGCTCGTTGACTCATACCTTTCCTACAGATGTGAGAGGTCATTACAACCAGTGTGTAGGTACATTCAATCCTTAGTGATGGTTATTGCCAGCCTTCCCCAACCTGGTGTCCTCCAGATGCGTTGGGACCAGCATATCTCAGCCCATGTGATAGTAAAAAGCCTTAGAGTCTGGATGCATAGAGACTGAAAAGAAATATACAGCCAGCTTCAAGAGAGGGACATATACAGTGGTACCTTGGCTCACAAACTTAATCCGTTCCAGCACTCTGGTTGTGACCCAAATTGGTCATGCACCAAGTTAAATTTCCCCATAAGGTTCAATGTAAATAAGGTTAATCCATTCTGTAACTCTTTTTTTAATCAGAAAAATGTGAATCAAAGTGACAAAGAACAACAAAGATCATGGCCATCTCCCCGCTGCCCCCGAACACCAACGCGGCCATCTCCCCACCCCCCAGCATGACCAAGATTGTGCCTGTCATCCTTGCACGCACCCATCATCCCTGCACACGCCCGTCATTCTGGCGTGCGGGGAGGGGGGAGAGATGGACGTGATTGCAGGTGCACTGGGGGAGAGAGATGCGTGCAAATGAGGCACGCTGGGGGAGGGAGAGATGAACATGAACGGGGAGCACTGGGGGAGGGAGAGACAGGCACAATCTCACCCCCACCCTCACCCACAGCACGATCGCAGCCATTTCCCTACTCGGGGGGGTGGGGAGACAGCCGCGATCGTGCTGGTTGCAGGGGGAGATGGCCGAGATTGCACCCATCTTTCCTGCAGGAGCGCACCAGTGATCACACATGTCTTCCCTGCACGAATGGAACTGCGATCGTGGCCATCTCCTCACTCGGGGGTGCGGGGTGGGAAGATGGCTGTGATCTTGGTTGCTACCCAATGTGGAGATCACAACCCACATTAAAATTTTCATGAAATTTTTGTTTGCGACCCGATTTGGTCGTGAACCAAGGCGTTCGTGAGCCAAGGTACCACTGTACTAGAATTATAAATACACTTATTCCCAGTAGTGTCAATGATGAGTCTGACTGGATGGAATCAGTAATATTAGGGTATGAGATCGTGGTCAAAAGCAGTTCCTTGCCACTGTCAGAACTGAGAAATTGAGGAGTTCCGGGATAGACTAATGCACTGTCCAATGGATTAGGGCACGGCTGCCAGACCGAAAGCAGAGGTTTACTATTAGTGGGGAATCATTGGGACGGCGGACAGTGATGAGTGGGGTCCCCCAGAGCTCAGTCCTGGGACCAGTCCTATTCAATCTTTTCATCAAAGACCTGGAGGAGTGGGTGACAAGTCTGCTGATCAAATTCACAGATGATGCTAAAATAAGGACAGTGGCTATAACAGAGGAGCAAGTATTCCATATTCAAAAGGATCTGGACAGACTGGAAGTGGACTGGGGACAACAGGATGGTGTTCAATGCAGATAAGTGCAAGGTCTTGCACTTGGGGCACAGGAATGTGCATCATAAGTACAGGTTAGGGGACGAGTGGCTGGAGAGCAGCACTTGTGAAAAAGACCCCAGGGTGCTGGTCAACTACAGGCTAAACATGAGCCAGCAGTGTGATGCACTGGCCAAGAGGGCAAACACCACCCTTGGATGCCTAGCCAGAAGCATGGCTTCTAGATCTTGAGAGGTAATACTGCCTCTCTATACGACTCTGGTGCACCCGCAGCTGGAGTATTGTGTTCAGTTCTGGGCTCCTCGTTACAGGAAGGATATAGCAAGCTTGGAATAAATGCAGCGAAGGGCCACTAGGCTTGCAGGGGAAGCAATATGAGGAGAGACAGGGAGTGGGGTCTTTTCAGCCTTGAGAGGAGGAGACTCAGAGGGGACCTGTTAGCAACATACAGGCATGTGAGGGGGGTGCCATGCAGAGGTGGGTCATGACCTTTTTTCCCATGGAGTGGAGGGCAGGATGCATTCCAGTGGAGCAAAGCCCAGGGAACCAAGATTTAGGGTGAATTCCAGGAACTACTTCCTGATGGTTAGGACCCCGAGGGTACGGAATAGGCTTCCATGGGAGGTGCTTGAAGTCCCATCAGTGAGGGTGTTTAAGGATAGGCTGGGCATGCACATGGTAGGCATATCATGAGTGGAGCCAGTTGGAGCCGGGGGTCAGACTAGATGAACCAGGAGATCCCTTCTGACTCACTTTGTTTTTATGTTTTTATGAATTACTCTTTGTTGGCTGCATTTATGAAAGAAGGCTAACTTAGACTGGGGAAAGAAAGCTAGGTCTGTTGCAAAGAGCCAACTGGACAAGAGCCAACTATGACATTCCACTAACACAACTGATGTTGCACTAGTGGAAACTAGGTTCTGAATTATGCACAAGAGAAGAATGTTCGTGCAGATGCACAACCAGTATGTAACACATTACACTTGGCTGAACTGTTCTGCAATCAGTTGAGTATCCTTGTGCAACTGGTTTTACATTATAGTTGTGCAACCAGTTGCACAGCTAGTTGTAGAATGGGGTGTGCAAGCCTAACATGCAACAGGAAGATCTGGTGGAGCTCTGCTAGTGTTATTTGAGTTTGTGGGATAGTTTGGATACTGTCCCATAAGTGTAGAGCATATATTGCATTTACAGAATTAATTGGCAAGTTTCTCCAGAGACCAAGGTTCTTCAGCTGGCCTCTTATCTTGGATGTTAGCCTAACTGTAAATGTATTTCAGGTAAATTCCTTGTAGATGGTATATAGGTATAAGATAGTATAGCTCCAGAAGGATATGGAAACTGTTAGTGTAAATTTCTTGAGCATGAATGCAATTGGAGAGGTGAGTTTTAAGACTTTGGACATTTGGGAAAGCCAAAAATGAAACCAATTCATTTTCCACAGATGCTTGAGATTTCAATATGCAAATATATAATCCTTCTTTAGATCCTATGAGTCTGAATGAAGGAGCCTGTTAATGGTAACCGGTTTAGATGCATGGTGAGCATTACTGTAAGCCAAATAGATGGGTGCTTACAAAATTTGCCAAGTTTTCTTCGTCTGCAACTCATACTCAAGCTTCAGGGTGCCAGGGAAATGTCACATGACTACCCTCTCCAATGTACTTCCATTACTTCCCCAGAGAGATTGGCTTGCTAAAACAGATCTTCACAATGCCTATTTCTGTGTCGCCATTTGCCTGGTTTCTCATAATTTCTTTCACTTCACTCTGGACAACAGATACTTTGGGTTGAAGCTTCTCCTGCTGGGCCTGACTACTGTGCAGGCATCTTCCCAAAAGGATGCTTGACTGAAGTGTCACCATCTACCTTTCTTGAGCTGTTCTACTGTCCCATTTTTACACCAATGCAATATGTTGACATGGCCTTCAGCTAGGCAGCCCTCACTCAAGTCACCCGTACTAGCCACCCGTGTGTGTGTGAATCATTGAGCTCGAGGAGGAGGAGGAGGCGGCGGTGGCAGAAGAGGAGAGCTTCTTACCTGCACCTGCAGATATCTCAGAGACACTCAGATGGCCCAGCCTGCTGCGGCTCCTTGCCCTTAATTTATTTGTCTGCCGCAGTGGGCTGGGGAACCCCCACAGCAGTGTGTCCCTGAGAAGGCAGGGCTCCTGCATAAAGCTCTGCTCAGGGCGGAACATCCTGCATGATTGTTCCACACAGGGGCATAGCTGTGTAAGCTCGCAGGTGTGAGGTCACAGATGCCCACCAGAGGAACAACAGGTAGGTAAGCAACCTGTTCTTCTGCCGTTTGGAATCGTGCTGTCATGGCCCTGGTCCAAGCCATTTCCAGAAACTGGCAAGAAAGCAAGCATGGTCATGGCAGGACCATCAAGCACAACAGTGGGAAATTCCCCTGCTGCAGAGATCACCCAGTGGTCCTAGCTGGCTTATAAGGTGGGATATGTAACAAGGTTTAAGCAATGAAACACAGTATTTAAACAAGCTATCCATAAAGAACATAGCTGGTCAGTCAAGGAAGGCTTCTTGAAATAAAAGTGCTATCAGGAGGCCCTGAAAGGAAGGTGCTGGTGCCTGCCTGATCTCCAGAGGCACAGAAATGGAGCTGCCACCCTGAAGGCTCTGGGTGGGCTCCAACTGGGCCAGAGGTTCACATGGAGCCACCAGGATCATGCCAACTGACTCAGTAATGGGGCAAATAGTAAGTATGCTCATTTGAGTAAACAGATAACCTTTTTAAAAGATCACCATCATCCATATCATCCTTATTCCTGTATGCTGAACAGGAGCAGGATTGGCATCTTTCTTGGAGTCCTCTCTCAGAGGTTCACTTGAGAAGAAAAACCCCATCACCTCCTCTAGGACTTCTTTGCCCATAAATGGGCTGGACCTGCCATTTGTCTTTGCAAAGGGGACCGGGGTTGACTCACGTTCGCCAAATGCTATCAAGTACCTCAGGATCGTGATATGCCCGCTGGCACAGAGGCATGCCAGGCAAACACTGCTATACACAGTCACCACGGCTGCCCTCAGCAGAAAGGATGTGTCTGTGAACTTGTAAATATGCAGGCATATCTGGGATGGCAGTGAAAATACTTTGGCTTGTTTCTCTGAGCAGATAATGGCAAACTGGTGATGATCTCCAACATCCTGGGAGCATGGAGAACACAGGACGAGTTTTCTTTTCTTTGTACTTTCACTTTCATCAATGCAGTTTGGATCCCTCCATGCTTCGTATGGTGGATGCATTAAGCTCCCTGTGCAGTCCAAGCAAGCAAAAGTTAACACTGCTCCCTTCAGTGTCAGAACTGTACCTGTAAAACAGAATGCAAAGGAGTCATTTGCCTCCCTAAAGTAGCTGCATTGGTACCAGCACCCATTAGCTGAGTGATTAGCCCTATGTGTGCATCTGTTAAACAGATCCATGCCTTCCTCTTCTATCAGATTATAGTGCAATGGTACTAGAATAAAACACAGAAATTATCTGATATAAGAATTTCTAAACTGGGATTAACCACAAAGCCAGCTTATTCCCTCTGGCAATTCATACGCCTGTTGTTGTTACTATTCTTATAATATTGTTATTTGATTTATACCTCACCCTTTGCATCAAAAAGTGGCACTCAAGAGAGACTATTAAAATAGGCTAAAAGAATACATTAAAATACAAGAACAACCTAATAATTATACAGTAAGGATACCTGGATTTCTATGGAAGAAGGAGGGTAGTAGAAACTGAGCACCTCATGTCCCTTGTTTGGGAGTGAGTTCTCTAGCCTAGGAATGGACATCAGAAAGACCCTCTTTTATGTTGCCACTAAAAGGCCCTCTGGAGGTGGCGGTGCAAAAAGAAGGCCTCTCTGGAAGAACATGAAAACTGGTCAGGTTCCCATGAAAGAAGCTGGTCTTTCAAGCAATATGGAGCTTCACATGGCTTAGAAAGCTTGGCTCTAAGCTGCATAGGATGTTATAGGTCATAGCCAAGACATGGAATTATACCCAGAAACATATTGCTAGCCAATGAAGCTGCTGTAACAAGGGAGTCACATGCCCCTCTATAACTGGCCCTGGTCACAGAATTCTAGACCAGCTGAAATCTCCTATAAGCATTTGAGGACAGCCCCATGTAGAGTGTGTTGCAGCTGGAATGTAGGACTAAAACCAGATCAGACTTCTCTAGGGATCGGCACACTATTCTCAGCTGAGCAAATGCATACATGGCCCCTCCTCAGGCCTGGTTATCCATTTCAGGGTCAAGTTAAAGAGTACTTGGGTGATCTGAGTCTCCAAGGCAAGTCAACCTCATCCAGCACAGGCTGAAACCCTCTTCCCTCACCTGCCTTCAAACAGATTAAAAGCACCCCTCCCTTGTCCTGATTAAGCGTCAATACTCAGCTCATGCGGTGTGGTGGTTTGAGTGCTGGACGTGGACTGGGGAGATCCAAGTTCTGGTCCCCATTTGGCTATGAAGCCCACTGGGTGACTTCAGGCCAGTGACCAACCCTCAGTCTAACCTACCAGGCTGTGGTGAGAATAAATGGAAAGGATACAATGGAAAGCCTTGTGTTTTTTTGCCCTCACTCAGGCATCAGGCATTGGTTTAAAATCAGAGCAACTTCCCTGGATTTAAATGGAAAGGACAGAGTTGGATATCATCAGCTTACTGGTTGCACCAAATCCCAGAAGTCAAGAGAAGCTCTCCTAGTGGTTCCATGTATGTGTTAAATAGCAGGGGGAATGCTGAGGGATTCCACAGGCCAATGGCCATAGCATCAGGCAAGGATGTACCAGGACCACCTTCTGAAATCTAAGAAGAACCGTGCCTGCCACCTCATACAGACACTTCAGAAGGATACTAAGGTTAATGATATGAAAAGCTGCTGAAAGGCCCAGCAGGCACTCTCTCCCTGTCCAGTACCTGGTAAAATCATCCACCAAGACTACCAAGCAGACCCTGTCCCATTACCAGGCCTGAAGCCTGGCTGAAATGGATCCAGGGCACTAAGCAAGCTAATGTCCTAGTTGCATGTACAGTCAGGCATGTGAAGCCTTCTTCTACTAAGCTTCAGTGAAAAGTAAGCATAAGTCTTAGGAAATTAAGCAAAGATCCACTTCTAATGTCCAAATTCTGACCAAAATGCACCCAACCCAGAGTTGCATGAATACTCTGAAAGTGGCTCCATGCCCTGCTCACTTCAAAAGCAGGGGTAGCTATTAATATGAAAGTGAAAGTTATACATTTGGCAACCAGACATAAAAGGGTGAGAACCCAGCCTTGATTTCCTCTGAGCTTGGGCACGTTAACCTGACTAGAATATATCTAAAGTGTTCTGGATATCCAAGTTATTGTTCTGCTAACTTTGGTATTAATACTATATAAATACTTAATAACATTAATGGCTAATTATTGTATAAACTCTTTTCCTATCATTGCAGTATGCAGCCTCCTGAATAAATGCTAGCACAAAATATTTTGGAGATGATGAGAAACTTCTGAACACCGGCTTTTCATTAAACATGGTGGCTTTTCCAGCAACTTTTCAAAGCGAAATCAGGTTTTTTGCATAAATGGATATCTCTAGCTCATCTAACTGAAAGGACTTCTGAAACACAGCAAACCTCTCCATCCATGTTATCTGGAAAGCTTCTTGAACAAAGAGCAGGTCAGGAGTGGCAGCAGAACACCAAAGGTATGTTCTCGGCTGACACACGTGATTCCCTTCCCACTCACCATAGCTCAGCTTATGTAAATAAAGACTGTACAGATTGCTTGCAGGATGTGTGACCAGGTCCTCCCAGTTTGCAACTGTCCAGTCCCTTAGAAATACTTGGGGTCTTGGAAATTTTAATTTGTCTCCTTGTGGAAAGTGCAGGCAAGGCAATGCTATCAACTGTCTTGCTTTCCCTTCACCATATGTAAGCTGTGTTGGAAAATTATGCTTATGGTATTAATAAGGAAGGGAACAGCTGATGGGGCCAGGGAGCTGAATAACACAAGGGAGTGGTCCCATGCCAGCACTTCTTTACACGAGGGAGTGGTCCTGTGCCAATTGAAACAAGTAGTGAAAAGTCACTTCTGAAGAAGCCCTCTCTGGACCCCAGAGATCTCAATTATTTTAGACCAGTGTCAAACGACCCCTCCCTGGGTAAGGTCCTTGAGAGGATGGTGGAAACCAGCTGATTATCTGAACGCAATTCAGGTGGGGTTCAGGCTAGTCTGGGCATGGGAACAGCCTTGGTTATCCTGTACAATGAGCTATGCCAGGACACAGACCTAGACAGTGTGACCCTGTTGGGATTCCTGGATCTCTTGGTAGCTTTTGATACCATCAACCACAATATCCTCCTGGGGTGTGTGGCTGCATTGGAAGGATAGTGCCTCACAGAGGTTCTGCTCCTGCTTGGAAGTTGGCTCCAGAAAGTGATGCTTGGGAGATAATGCACTTTCCAGTGTGGGGCTCCTCAGGGAACAGTCTTCCCTACACTAGTGAACATCTATATCAAACTGCTGAGTGGGGCCATCCAGAGTTTGGGACTGTGTTGTCATCAGTACACTATTTCTCTTTTTCATCTTCAGCAGGTGAGGCTATGGATGTGCTAAATCAGTGCCTGGCTGCAACAGTGGAGAGAAGCTCGAGCCAGAAAAGACTGTTGTTGGGTGGTTCCCTTGACCATAAGGAGGTGGTCAATCTGTTCTGGGTGGACAATCCTTGAAGAAGCAGGTTTGCAGCTTGGAGTGCCATGTAAGTGGTCTTTGGTGCTTGAGATCCAGTGGCACAGAGTGCTTTCTACTAACTTCAGCAGGTGGCCCAGCTGTGTATATCTGGACAGGCATGACCGGGCTTCAAGTAGTCTATGTTCTGGTAATCTCTGATGTGGCTTACTGCCGCATGGCTTACTGCAGCACACTCCGTGTGGGGCTGCTTGTGAATACAGTTCAGAAGATGTAGTTGGTGTAAAACATGGCAGCCAGATTAATAACAGGTCCCAAAAGGATTGAACTCAGTGCTGGCCTACATTGGCTGCCTATATACTTCTGAGCCTAATCCAAGGTGCTGGTTTTAAGCTATAAAACATTATCGGTCTAGGATCACAATACCTAATGAAACACATCTCCCAGTCAGAATTCACACAGACCTCTGTTCAACATCTTGGGCCCACCTTCCATCACCACCTCTGAGGGAGTTTCAGTTCGTGTCAGCAAGAAAGGACTTCTAAGTGGTGGCCCAACAGTTATGGAGTAAGCTCCCCACTGGAGACCATTTGGCACTCACTCTAATATATTTCCAAGTGCCAGGTTAAGACTGTCCAGATTAAGATTTAATTAGTTTTAATATTATTTATTTCAGCTACTTAACAGGTATTGTGATTGATATGTGTAAGCGATTGTAGCTTTTAAAATTTGGTTTAAAATCTGGCTTTTAAATTCTGTACAGTGAATTTTATGAAGATGTTATTGTTATCCATACTTTATATTGTATTTTATCTGCTGTTGTAAACCACCTAGAGAGCCTTGGCTATTGGGTGGCATAGAATAATAATGAAAGCCACAAAGGGCTGGAAAACTTGGGAAAGGCCCTGGAGGATGGTGACAGTATGAAAAGGACGTACAAGCTTCTGTATATGAGTGTCTAATAAAAGTCTCATGCAGAAACATGCCAAGTTATTAAAGAATTTAAAGGGCTCCTTCCTCCATGTATAAATCCCACTGGCCTGCCTTTGCCTGTGGGTGGGGTATTAAAAAGAAGCAGGAGTGGTGGTGGTCCCTCTGAGGGGACTAGGCAAAAGAGCATCTTGCGGCCTGTCCTACCTCATGGAGTGGAGGTGCAGGCATGTCGCCATATGCTTCCATTTCTACCATGCTGCCTCTGCAAACTCAGACCTCACCTAATCAGAGCTATTTGCCTAGACTGGCTACGCTTAGGCAGCATACCTGATGCAAATCGCCGTTTTCCAAACTGTCTTGCCTCATCCCTTCCGACACATGCACAGCTACAGCGGAGACAGGGACAACCCTGGAGCCAGCACAAGCCCAACCCTTGGTGTGCCCCCCCCCAGCCCCAACACCACTCCTTTCGCCCTTTATATTCTAACTTATAGCACCAAAGGAGAAGCATGGAAAGATGAAGCTTGAGTTTAACAAGGCATTGTGTTTAAGGACATGTTTTTTGCAACTTTTCAAGAAAATACTAAGAAATCAGGAATTCTCACCACTTGGAGAAGCCATTACTGGTTCTGTCTGCCTTAATTCATCTGCAGTGGGCAGATTAAGGGATACAACCAAAACCATACCCAAGGCTGTACCAACCCAAAGACAAGGAGACACTGTGGTGTCGTTTTTCCGTGCAAAAGACTCCATGAAAAATAAAGCTGTAATTGCTTCCTTGGGCTCCTTATCAATGCTGCAGACACTTGAGCTTCGAGAATGGCTGAAGGGATTCTCTCTGTTCTCTGTTTAAAGAAAGCAACACAGATTAATGTGTGAACCAATTACTCTCTGGAGCAGTAGCTCTAGCTTGCTCCTTTTAACTCCAGGTGTCTTTACCTGGCCTCACACATGCGAAGCGCATGCTTCACTTCTGCCGCATGCATGGCTCTTCTCTTTTAGAAAATGCAGAGCCCAGCAAGGTCATGCAACAGAAGTTTTTCTGAACTTGGTACTTTCAAAATCTTATTATCAGAGCAAAAAAGTCGACTACCGGATCTACGAAAAGTAACCGTCAACATCACTTCACATGCCATTATTTTATGTTGATTAATGATTTGAAACGAGTACAAGTTGCATGTCTGTCACAATAATAAAAACGTCTAGGAAGCCATAATGCAAAATACAATATCTTCAAAACACTAAATAGCAGCTGATGAATCATTAATAACCATCAACCAAAAATTAGAATAAGAAAATAGGTCAGGATCAAACTCTATGGGGCATTAAAGATATAAGTATTGTGTATCTCTTCTGAAACGGTACAGATGGGTGTGGTGTGGCTGAGGTTAATCAGGACCAGAACCAAGTGCATGGGGTGTAACTCCCCTCTCTGGCAATATACTACTGTCTCCACAAAGATGGGAGGTCCTGAGAGTTTCTCCACTAGCTTTTTTATGACTCGGATGGAGTTCATTGAACCCTGGAGATTTGAAAGTATTTATTCCATCTAGGTATTCCTTGACCATTTGTCCATCAATCTTGGGCTGCCGTCTCTCACTTTCAGCTTGTACTTCCTCTTGAGTGCAGATTTCCTTGTGGGAGAAGACTGAGGCAAAGAAAGAATTGAACGCCTCTGCCTTTTCTTTGTCATCTGTTATCACTCTGCCATCCACTTTAATAAGCTGGACACCCTTCTCTTTCTCACGTCTTTTGTTCTGGATGTATCTGAAGAAGAGTTTCTGGTTGTTCTTAGCATCCCTTACTATTCTCAGTTCACTTCCTGCTTTAGCCTTCCTGATGCTGTCCCTGCAATTCCTTGCTATTCCTTCCTTCCTTCGTGACCAGGCCCTGCTTCCACTTCCTGTACACGTTCTTTTTCCTTCCAGGCTGTAACTTAACTTTTTGTGGGGCCACATGGGCTTCCTCTGCTGTCCTCTACACTTTTCTTGTTGGAATTGTTCGTAGTTGTGCTTGGAGAATCTTCTTTTTCAAGATTCCCCACCCATCTTGAACTCCTTTTCCCTTAAGGGTGTGTTGCCATGGCACTTTTGGTCCCAGAATCCAAATCTTTCTTTATGGCACCACCATCATAGCCAGTCATTCACTTGCAGGATTTTTTTTTCTCTAACAGTTTCTCTTCCCTGTACTAGTAGGATTGTGAAGACTATCTGGGCCCCAGTGTTTTTTATTTTCCTCCCTAGAGCTTTGAAGTCTGATGTTATTTCAGCGAAGCTTCTTATGGCAGTATTGTTAGTTTCCATGTGGAAGAGAAGGAAGGGGTATTTGTCAGTAGGCTGCATGAGTTGTGTGAACTTGGTTATATCGTTAATCTTGGTGCCAAGGAGAGAGCATACTTGGGTCTGGGTCATTGCGACATACATATTTTTCCATCCTGTGCAAGAGGGAATCTCCCACAACTAGCACTCTTCTCCTTCGGTTGCAATCTTTGCTATCCTTTTCCTTGTCTGATTGGCCTTTTGTCTCTTTTTCAGAATTACCCAGTGTGCCATGTAGTTCTTTCACAGTGGGTTTCTCACATGTCCCTTCCTCAAGTAACTTGAAGCAGTTTGAGAGTTCCACTGCTTCCATGGGTACAGAATGTTTTCTAGGTCTTCTGTGTCTAATTTTCACCTTGTTTCAGTGAGTTTCCTCATTTCCCCTTCCCTCAGGGTTCTCTTCTGCTGCCTCAGCTGACTGAAGCTCTTCTGGCTTCTTGACTACCCCGAGCTGTTGCAGCTCTTCCACTTCCTTTTATCATCTGGAGGGTGGGCACTGGCTGCTCCAGTGCTCTCACCTTTTCTTGTAGCAGGGCTACTAGTATGCAGCTGTTGCAGTTGTTGGAGGCCACCACCACTGTGGAGTCCCCTTGATCCATTGTTTGTGCAACCTTAGTGATTCTGTCTTTGTGTGTGTGTGTGTTGGGGCGGGGTGGGGGGGAAGCTGTTGTGACAACTGCTGCTTTTGAATGTCTTCACTAAAGGTTAGCAACAGTCCTATTAGTAAATGGGAGTGTGCTACAAGGAAGAAAAACAAGTGTGTATGTGTGTGTGTGTGTGGGGGGGGGGGGGGGGCGGATTAAGATGAAAGAAAGAGAAACAAATGGGGAGAAATGTTAGGGACCTCCTGCTTGACCTCCTCCACAAAACTCCTCTTTGCTCTCCCTGTTTGCTCGCTCCCTGGGAGCTTGGCTGCTTATATATCCTAGAGGCCCTAGACCAGCTGGTGCAGCTTGCTCTTCTCTGCTCTGCTAGGAGTCAAGAACCAGATGACAGAAGTATTACAGCCTTGGGAAGGTTAATCTGAAATATCCTGTGGTTCCTGGGACAGCCTCCCAGTGATCACAGGATTGCTCTTTCTGTCTCTCCAAGGTCTCTGACAAATTTTTGAAGCTAATCCTTTTCTGTTGTTGTTGTTTCAGCTAACCTAAATTCTTCCACTACTACACCATCTGACTCTGAGGTATTTTTCTTCCTTAAAATTACTATGGTCACGCACATATGATTACTCCACTGTTTCATAGTTAATTTCATAATAATGTTCCACCTTACTCTAATGTGAAGCGGGAGATAGGCAGGGGGAAATAGAAAAAGCAAACCTGAACAAATAACAGAAGAAAAAAACACCATTCCTAACACAGAAATGCTACAGAATTCTAAGGAACTAGATGCTTTCTAAAACGAAGTCCTTCATTCCTATAGGGACACTTTTAAAGGATTAATTTAAATTCATATTATCAATAAAATACTAATATCACAACCAAGACTTAAAGAAGCACCATTTAAAATGCCAACTGCTTTGTTACAGAATCTTATTATTGGGAGAGCGACCTTATGGGCTGATGCCTGAATGGTGGAAGGAACCCCCTACCCATGAAAGGAACCTTGCCATCTACCTCTGCTGCCATTTTTATTAGACAAGCTCAGAGGATCTCTCTACTGGGGACAGGAAGAAGGGCTGGGTGGGCACTGGATTCAAGCCCAAGGATTAACCAAGTACTTGAAGCGATGCACTTAAAGTAGTGATTAGGAGGCTCTGTATTCAAGAAAATAGGAACCCTAAAAACAATGCAGGAAAGAATCTCATCCGTGAAAATGCAGAACTGGAACTCTTTCACAAAAGAAAAGGAAATGCAAAAGTCTGATCTAAAGGCATCTGATCCTTCTGAAGGAGCACAGTCCCATCCAGAAAAGACTTTCTCCAGGATCTTGGAACCATTCAGCCACAAGGCAGCCTCTTCAGCAGGCCACTGCACCAAGCACTGCTCTGCACAGTTGGTCTGGTTCACATGTAAACACAGTGTAATCAAGTTGCTCTGAATCTCCTAATTACCGCTAGCCAGCACTGGGAACATGAGGGTATCCTGCAGCATAGCAGAACTGCCAACGAGCTCAGAAAGAGTCTTCCTACTGCCACTCTCAAAACATCTCTGGAGCTCAGACTAGAATCGCTGCAATCAAGTGCCCCCAACTCCAAACTCACTGAGGCATCCAAAAGAATACCACGGTTGATGATACCAAAGCATCAATAATAATGACTCCCTGATATCTTTGCTTGCCTCTTGCCTTTCATACATAATACTTACTGTATATCAAGCCACACTAGGACTCAAAATTTTAATCAACATACAGCTTTTTTGCATTAAAAATATTCTATTTGTCAAAAATCAATTCAAGAAACCCCTCTCTGCCCTTGCCCCTTCTCTCCCCAGTCTTATATCACAACGTGTGACCTTTGCTCATCCGGCTCCACCACCCTCAGTTATCCCAATGTATCCTGTTCCCTAAAACAACTCTGCTCTTTTCCCCTCACTACCCCTTATACCTGGAACTATTTCACAGAATAACTCTGGTGCACCATCCCTCTCTTCACCTCTCTTCTTGATCTTCAACTTTTCTCTAAAGCCCTTAGGAGTACTCCACTTTTCCAAAACCCTACAGTATTTAGGTATTTTACTAAAGCATTTTTACTCTATTCTTCAGTTGCAAAAGGTCCCAAAATTGTTCAGGTGGATTAATATTAGTTCTTAGGCTTACAATTTAAAAAAACACAACACAAAAGAAACAGGGATTGGGGGAAATAGGTTAAAAAGTCAAACTCAAACACAACATCTAGATTCAGGTTCTGGCAGGGAACGGTGAAACAAGCCCCTGCAGCAGTTCTTTCCCTGGTTGAGGTATGGGGCTAACTGGGCGTCCCCCTTGCCAGGATGCTCTTCCAGGGCAGCAGGGGGTGCAGCTCCCAGGGGTCCCCATTTCTCGGGCCAGTGGATGTGGCCAGAGTCTGCAGCACGTCATACTGCAGTACGAAATGACTGCATATTTCCTCCACCTCCACCTTTATTCCTTTGTGTCAGTTTGTTGGTGTTCTCATGTTGGCTTGATTATAATCTCTGTGGAACAGGGACCTGTCAGTGCTGATCTTTATGAAGCACTGTGTACATGATGATACCACATTCTTATTCATATTCTTCCAGAGTCTTTCTCTTATCCTAACTGATTGGATGATCAAGAAAGGGCAAAAAACCACCCTGGCTCAACCCTGGGCTTGACACCAGGCAGTAATCAATCTTTTCTCAGCCTTTATCTTCTAGTGCAAAACCCAGCGATCAGGGTGGGCATCAACACCCTCTCAGCTTCTCCCAACTCACTTGTGATATTGTATTAATAATGTAACAGTGAGTTTCTGATTCATTCACTTCTTCTTCCATCCGTTCTGAAAGCACAGTGACTGTCTTAAAGAGAAGTCAAGATGCCTTTCTATAAAAAAGGCCTTTAAACTGTCTTCTAGAACGTAGGTACATTTTGTTGTTGTTAGTTGCGAAGTTGTGTCCGACCCATCGTGACCCCATGGACAACATTTCTCCAGGCCTTCTTGTCCTCCACCATCCCCCAGAGTCCACTTAAACTCATGCCGACTGCTTCAGTGACTCCATCTAGCCACCTCATCCTCTGCCGTCCCTTCTTCTTGTGCCATCTATTGTTCCCAGAGTTAGACTCTTCTCCAGGGAGTCTTTCCTTCTCATTAGGTGGCCAAAGTATTTGAGTTTCATCTTCAGGAACTGGCCTTCTAAAGAGCAGTCAGTGTTGATCTTCTCTAGGACTGACCGGTTTGATCATCTTGCTGTCCAAGGGACTCGCAGGAGTCTTCTCCGAGCCATAATTCAAAGGTCTCAATTCTTCGGTAATCTGCCTTCCTTATGGTTCAACTTTCACAGCCATACATTGCAACTGGGAAAACCATAGCCTTGACTATACACACTTTTGTTAGCAGGGTGATGTCTCTGCTTTTTAGTATGCTGTCTAGATTTGCCATAGCTTTCCTCTCAAGGAGCAAGCGTCTTTTCATTTCTTGGCTGCAGTCCCGGTCTGCAGTGATCTTGGAGCCCAGGAAAATAAAATCTGTCACTACCTCCATTTCTTCCCCATCTATTTGCCAGAAAGTGAGAGGACCAGATGCCAAGATTTTAGTTTTCTTAATGTTGAGTTTCAAGCCAACTTTTGCACTCTCCTCCTTCACCCATATCAAGAGGCTCTTTAGTTCCTCTCACTTTCTGCCATGAGAGTGCTATCATCTGCATATCTGAGGTTGTTGATATTTCTCCCAGCAATCTTAATTCCAACTTGTGATTCATCCAGCCCCGCCTTTCTCATGATGTGCTTTGCATATAAGTTGAACAGACAGAGGGACAGTATACAGCCTTGCCGAACTCCTTTCTCAATTTTGAACCAATCAGTGGTTCCGTATCCAGTTCTCACTGTTGCTTCTTGACCCACATATAGGTTTCTCAAGAGACAAATAAGATGGTCTGCTACTCCCATCTCTTTAAGAACTTGCCACAATTTGTTGTGATCCACACAATCAAAGGCTTTAGCATAGTCAATGAAGCAGAAGTAGATGTTTTCTGAAACTCCCTAGCTTTCTCCATGATCCAGCATATGTTGGCAATTTGATCTCTAGTTCCTCTCCCTCTTCGAAATCTTGCCTGTACATCTGGTAGTTCTCGGTCCACATACTGCTGGAGCCTAGCTTGTGGGATTTTGAGCATAACTTTGCTAGCATGTGAAATGTGCGCAATGGTGAGGTAGTTTGAACATTCTTTGGCACTGCCCTTCTTTGGGATCACAATGCAAACTGACCTTTTCCAATCCTGTGGCCACTGTTGAGTTTTCCAAATTTGCTGGCATATTGAGTGTAGCACTTTTACTGCATCGTCTTTTAGGATTTTGAATAGCTCAGCTGGAATACTGTCGCCTTCACTAGCTTTGCTGTTGCTCAGACTTCCTAAGGCCCATTTGACTTCACATTCCATGATGTCTGGCTCGAGGTCAGTGGCCACCCCATTGTGGTTATCAGGGACATTAAGCTCTTTCTTGTATAGTTCTTCTGTGTAATCTTGCCACCTCTTCTTTATCTCTTCTGCCTCTGTTAGGTCCCCACCATTTTGGTCCTTTATCATGCCCATCTTTGCATGAAACGTTCCCTTCATATCTCCAATTTTCTTGAAGAGACCTCTGGTCCTCCCTATATCTATTGTCTTCTATTTCTTTGCACTGTTCGTTTAAGAAGGCATTCTTATCTCTTCTAGCTATTCTCTGGAATTCTGCATTCAATTGGGTGTTTCTTTCTCTTTTAGGTACATTTATAGAATGCAATTCAATAAATTCTAAAAATTGGAGTAATCGAGCATTTTCATTCATGGCTCTTTTCTCACACTGCCAGTAATTATGTGGTTTTCCACTTTGTCAGCTACAGGGAGGCAACCGATTGGATGGGCAGGTCTTCTCTATTCAGATCTCTTACATCATCTTACTGAAGCTTGTTGAACCACAACAGTTATCCAACATGCAAAACACAAACCAGGCCCTGTAACATTCCATACAGTTATATGATTGCATTTAAATGAGTGACAGAACATTCATAGAAATGGTGCTAGTACATTTTCTGTCAGGTACAGAAATAATAATAGTATTAGTAAAGCCCCAGAAGCACAGGAGAAAGGCAGGCAGGCAGGCAGGCAAAAAAAAACGGGGTTTAGCATCTGCTAAGATCAGTCGTGTAGAAACTCAGCTACAGAGTTAAATAGTGCACAGACTGCTTTTAAAACTTTTCGGGTGGTGAAAACAAAAAGGTCCAAAAGTATTTGTCTAGGGATACTCACCTTCCATTGTAACTGGCAAAGAAATCTCCATGCAAGCAGCAGATTGTGCTTTCCTAAATGGGGGCTTTCCTGGACCACGACGATTTGCTTTTGAAATGTCTGCACTAGACAGCCGTTTTCCAGTGTTACAGCTTTGGGAGGGTGGACTTGTACAGTGTCCATTTACAGGATCTGTAGGGAGGTTATGTAAAGCAATTAAACTAAAGTCAAGGGTAAATGGGAGATTTAGGGCAGGGATTCCAGAATTATTTATTTGTTTATTTATTTAGCGAGCTTCTATGCCGCCCCATTCGCCGAAGCCTCGGGGCGGCTCTCAACAATATGAGAATGCTCGTATTGACTTGCTGCCACATGACATGCGAATGGGATCTGGGATCTGTTACAGGGTTATGCCAAGGCAGCTTTCCCTCAGCAAATTTGCCACTTCTGTCATGGCCATAGGACTCAGTCAGCTGATGGGTCTTGTGGAGGCTCATTGATGCCACTGCCTAGGGAAAGGCAGAGGGCTGTACTAGAGATGGCAGCTGATCACCGCTGGCCACCTGTACCCAGGTTTCCTGTATTAGAGGGGCCTGTTATGCCTTAAGCCATGGGTCCTGAAACTATGGCCCACGGGCTGGATATGGCCCGCCATGGTAATTTACCTGGCCCACCTCAGAGCTTTTGGACTCATTCAGAGAAAACAATCGCTGAGCAAGTCTGAAAGCTCTGAGCTGGCACAGGCATTCTCTGAAACTGAGCAGAGAGCCAGCGCATGCGCCAAATTGTAACCGCTCAACTGTGCGTGTGCCAGCTCTTCCCCCACCCCCCGCCCCCCATTGCATGCATATACAGAGTGGGAATACGGAGCAGTCTTTGTAAATGCCAGTTGCAGTCATCAGCTGCATTATGCAAAATACTATATTTAGTGCCTTGGTTGTATTGTAGCTATGTCCCTTGAATATGGACATGCTCTTCCCCACCTCATCTTGGGCTTCTGCTGCAGCCCGAGGAAGTGGAGCAAACATTTTTAATTTTTAATTATTTTTTAAATTTTAATTATTTTAATTTTTAATTATTTTTTAAATTTAATTAATTTTTAATGTGCAGTGTGTATAGGAATTCATTCATTTTTTTTTAACTATAGTCCCCCCTCCCCACCCAACAGTCTGAGGGACAGTGAACTGGCCCCCTGTTTAAAAAGTTTGAGGACCCCTGCCTTAAGTGCTCACGGCCTGACCCAGTGAGCAGGGCAGGGAGGGTGCTTGCTCTTCTGTGCACACTGGAGGGGGAGTGAGCTCTTCCAGAAACCCAACTGGGAACAGTTTGTGGGCCCAGGGCATGTGTGGCACACACAACGGCGGCACCAGACAGCAAAGAGGATGTGCCCATGAACCCAGACACTGAAATGAACATGGGGGAGCAGCTCCCTTGCTCAAACATGTTGTACTGGAAATGAGGGCAGAGAGGAAACAGGGAGAATCTCTTTTGAAGAAAGGAAAGTGCCTGAGGCCAAGCTGGCCTGGGAAGAGCAGGACATGTCGTCCTCCTCCTCATGGGAATAAAGTGAACAAAAGCGTAAAAGTTAGAGCCCCAGACTTTTACACTAATAGGGCATTTTTGTGGAGAATGCTTAACATAATGCAGATATTACATTTCCTGCAGTGTTGCCAGGAAATTTATTTCCTAGGTACAGTACTTGTTTCCAGTTTACCTCACAACCTAAATTGGCAGATGGAGAGCTTTGCAAAAACAATACACAACTGCACAAGAAAAATTTTCCTTATCAGTTTTTGAGTGGATGGGTCACCATAAGTTGCTTTATTGCACATGGTAGGCATGTCATGAGTAGAGCCGACTGGAGCCGGGGGTCAGGCTAGGTGGCTCAGGAGGCCCCTTCTGACTTGCTCTGTTTCTATGTTTCTGTCCCCTCAATATGCATGCCACAAAGTGATCCCAAAAAAGGGCACAACTTACTGTGAAAGGCCATCTTTTCCTGCATTAATCTGCCTGCCTTTTTTAGATTATGATCAGAGATCAGCCTGTGTGTCCCAGTGTGAGAAATAGGCTTAGCTGGCTGTGCCCATGTTTCTGAACTTCATTTTGCTCTCTCTCTCTCATGGCTTTCCATAGGCTAAAAGGGATGTGTGGGGAATCTGCTTAGTAAAGACAGTCTGCCAGATCCCCTGGTTTCAGCTTCCTGGACTCCAGTCCACTTTGCAGCAGGCCCAAGTCCAAGTTCCCGGACAGCACACCCAGCGATCGTGATGCACTCGACAGGAATTGCGCCCCCCATGCTGCGCAAGCAGCACCGCTCTTTTGTGCTCAGCCCCGCTGCTGGCAGCAGCACCCAGGGAAGAAGGTTGGCGACCAGGAAGTGTGGCTGGGGCACCTGCTCACAAGTCCTTCTTTCGCATCCTGCAACTGGTCCTGACAAGGAAGATGGCCGGTTGCACATCTGGGGGCCCAAGAGAGTTCACAGACTTCCTCTCAGCTAAGCTTGCTTTGCAGGATGGAGCTGAGCATGAGAGGAAGGCCATCAATTTTGGAAGGACAGATTTCAAAAGGGTTTATCCGAACCCTAACACCTCACTTGACAGACTATTAGTAGCAGTCCGGATGAATTTGTTTGATAGCTATTGTATTGTTTCTCTGTTCCCCACTGCCTTATTTAGTGTACTCATTAATGCAGTAAATTGTTACACTGCTGTTTTAATTGTTGTTAACCATTTTGAATACAAAAGGCAGGGCATAAATGTGTTAAAGAATTGATAAAGATGGGTGCAGTGCTATGCTGTCCTTTGTTTTAAACATAGGTTGGAGGGCCTCACAAATGCCCCCACCCCTCATGTGCCTTGTTTCTCAGCTGCTCTCACTGCTACTTTTCAAGTGCCGTATTCTTCTCCCTTACTAGCTGAGGAGTCACTCAGTTCCACAGCTTCCATTTCAGTGCAAAGTGCTCAGAGGTGGCTACTCAGCACTGAGAGAAATGGAACTGTGTTTGCACAGGGTGGTGTTGCAAGGCAGCTGAAACATTCCCGCCCTGTCTTGCCCTGCACGGATGAGCAATGAAGCCAGCAGCACAGTGCAGTGTGACAAATACGGGAGCTTTCCTCTTATTGCAAATGGAGGCCCTGATTCCAGCTGGGACTGCAATGGGGGAGAATGGCTTAAAGCCTCCTTTCCCAGACAGCACAGTCCTGATCTGGCTGCGTCCCCGGCTGCGTTTGTTTCATGTAAACACAGAAGCCACACAAGGCTTGTGTGAGTAAACCTTGTATGCACACTGACCTCGATCTAGTCCCTAGATGTACTGGCAAGAAGTTTATGCTGTGACCTACATGGCTGCATATATAATGGGCAGTCAAGATTTGGATGGCTATGACGGAGGGTCGGGGAGCAAAGACCCAGGCAGAGCTGCTGGACCTTCCTGACCATCGTGGTTTCTGAAGTTACTTCACTGATATACTGAAACGTAGCCATGAGCCAGCTTCTACTCAGATACTTTCCAGCAAGATGAATAATGATTGTATTGAAAGGATCTTTCAAATAAAATAACAGGATTGTGCAAATTTCATGCCCTTCTCAAACACCCTATAACTGACTATCCTTTTCATACCCTGTTGTCATCCTACAGCTATTAAGTTATTCTTTAACAAATAAAATGGCGATACGAGTCTTCTCAAACAGGAAAGAAACAATGTGGTTAAGACCTAAGCCATGTGCTTACCTGAGGTTGTGGGGGACCTGCACCGTTCTACCTCTAATGAAGCTGGGCCATCTGATAACTCAATAAGGCCTGGAAAAAATGAAATCAAGAAAATGAATTGACTTGAATTATACTGTAAAACCAAATTTGTTCAAATAACAGATGCCATAACGTTTCATAACTGCAAGGTAGAGAGCTAGAGTGATCCAGTTGCTAGAATGCTGGTCTGGAACTCAAAATGACTACTGTGGCTGCCTATGGGTGTGTTCATATGTCATGCCAAAGCACCCTGAGAAGAAGCCATGCTGGATGGGTGGTTCTCTGTTACTCCAGAGAGACAGTCACCAGCCACAAAGACTGAGCCAGCTTCTTCTGGCTCAGTCTCTCCCAGTCCTCCAGGCCACTCGCAGGATGTGATCCCAAGGGATTGTTCCATGTTCCCTGTGCCAGCAACTTTTCTGCAACTGGTCCACTGCAGCTGCCAGTTAGTGAGGGAAACTTCCTTTCCCACAGCAGATCACAAAACAGAAATACTTTTCTGAGCAATTACAACTATTCCCAAGCTTTGATTTTTTTTTTTCCACCATGAAATGTGTAAAGTTTTACTGCTCTGAAAAGAACTTTCCAGAGTAGTTGCTTTCTGGCCCACTTCATGAGCACCTGACAGCTGGCAGGAGGGTGAGTGGCTGCAGCAGAGGAGCCACCCTGGAGGGACGGGCCCTTAGTTCAGCGTAACTTGAAGCAGCTTTTACAAAAGCACTTGCTGCAGGGGAAGCGCTGAAATGCAATTGGCCTGCTGCAGCTGCTGGCTGAAGAGTGATGTGCCCTCCCCTTCTGCACCAGGTCAAAATCAGGATTTTTGTGGATGTGGGAACACATTTGCCATTTGAAAAGGCACACAATTTTTTCTCTGGGTTCTTGTGTGCCTGCCATTCAGTCCAGTGTGGCCAAATTCCTCTTGTCAATTTCACCCTCTGCTTCAGACAATTTATCCCCAGATGAAGCTCTTCCCCACAATCAGATTGCAAGAAAGAAATGATTTTCCAGGTCCTTGCAAACATGTGAAACATGTATTCATGAGCTGTTTTTTGCTTTTTTGGGAGGAGGGATGTCTTGAACTCCTGTGCCGCACCTCAGGACAGTCTGTCTCCTATTTAGCCAAGCAACCTGTCTCACCTGCTTGTCAGTGTCTCTGCTTCTGTACTTACTATACTACAGAAGGCTTGGGGTTTGGTTTGAATTTTTAAGACTTCTTCGCACTGCACTGAAGTTTACCCCCTTCCAAAATGCCTTCTCTTCTGCCAGCACCAGCCACTTTCCCCCTAGCCCTTCTTGCTCGAAACAGGGGATCTAATGCAGGGAAGGGGGAAGTTTGTTCAGGTAGGGTTGAAGCTGAGGACAAAGTTGACAAGGACAATTGCAAGAGGGGAATCTGGCTATGCCGGGTTCAGTGGTGCCTACGTGCTTTTGTGCACAAGATCCTGAAAAAGCACCAGCACAACAAAGGGCGAACAGAGCACCGAAGGCCATTTTAAGCAAAACTGAAAGCATGACTCAGAGAACAAGAGCATGGTGTGGGGGCAAAATGAAGCAGGCATATTGAGGGTGACGGAACTGTAAACTGAGGAGAGGAAAAGTGGTATTTTGTCAGGTAGCCCTGCACCTCCGTTATTATCTTTAATATTTTACCAATTCTTGCTTTAGAAATTATCAATTCTTTTTATTTATCAGCTTATCGAACATCTCTAAGAATAAAATATCTGATGTCAGGCAAATTAAAGGTGCAAGTTTGTGTTTCGGCTACCTTTATTATTTCAAATACTAAATTACAATCTGTGAAGGAAAAACAGAGAAGATCAAATTCAAAGAAGATCAAATTTAATCCTAAAGTAATCATAATTTTTTCTCAACTGTTAAACTTCATTTGTTCAACTCATGTATAAAGCGAGTCATGGTCAATGTCATTACTGTGGAAATTGCTAAACCAGACTACACATCCACAAGCTGCTGTGCACAGTGGTTTGGCTCTCTTGCAATTTGTCAATAGAACACATTGGTTTTTGTGTGTTCTGTACTATGATTTGCAAACCACTATACTATTTGTCCAGATTGCATGTAACAGCAAATGATGGTTTGTCCTTAATTAAGAAGTGATGGGAAATCAAGGAGGAGGAAGAGGGGAGGAAGGGAGGAGAGAGGCAGCAAGCACAAAAGTATTCCTTTATTACCAAACCACAGCCTGATGCATAGGCCTGACCCAGAGTGTGGGTAGCATGTGCACAACTTTAAATACACAAGTACACATGTCTCAGAACCTTAGATTAGGCCACTGTCTTCAGACATACGCTCTTACATGCATGTATGTTGGTCCCATTCTTTATGCAGCAACCCAAAAGCCATGCTTTCACATGGTGAGCATTTTGCTGATCTCTGGGCCTTTGCCAAATGTCCAAGCCTGACGGCTTCTGGTACCCTTCCAGATTAAGGCAGTAGAAAATTCACTGATTTTGTATTAATTTAAAAATGCTTCTGGTGATGCATAATGACAGAATAATCTATTCCATGGCTCCACAGCAGCCAATAGAATTGTCAATAATTTAACTAGAGCTACAAAGACCACAACAAAACGTTTCACATTTCATCCAGAAGAGGGAAATGGCATGCACACAGAGGAAAAACACGTTCAAGTCAATCCCATTTCAGTCTCAACAAAGCACTAGGTCTACACTGTATAAAACCTATAGGAAGCATGGATCTGTTTCATTAAATCAGGATAAAAGCTAGATGCATGCAAATGCGTGCATAAATAAATGCATGCAAAAGTTGCCTTTGGCATATGCCAGAACATCAGCATAAGTGGCAGGCAGAAAAAAGGGAAAAATGCAAGGTCCAAAGTGAAAGTGAATGATACACCCAGCATCTACAGAAGCTGGTTAAGTGGGGATGGAATATACAGCCAATAAATTAATTTAAAACTAAAGAATGAGAGATGGATAACAGAGGGCCAGCACGAGACAGCATGTATGGTAATGAAGGTCTTTTTCTGACATTAAGTTTAAGGTGGCATTCTATTCAAAATGTAGCTTTGAAATAACATCCTTGCTTTTCAACAGGTGAAAAGTTATTCTGACATTTTACCCAAGATTTTCACCAAGTAATCTGACTTCCCTCAAGGTATAGTAAAACAACATTAAGTCTGACCTCTAAGGTTGCTACATGTATTTTTATATGAAAATAATATTGTCAATATCATAACACCATTATACAAATCTATCACTAACTGCACTATCTACAGTTCTGGCCACCACATATAATATTAAAAAAATTATACTGGGAAAGGATTCAGAAAATAGCAAGCAAAATGATCTGGCTGAAAGAAGTTTGGAACAAATGCTAGGGAGATTCCATGTAGGAAAAAAAAAGCAAGTAAGGGGAGACATGACAGGTGTATTAAAGTTAATGTATGGTATGGAAAAAGTAGGTAAGAAGTGCTTTCTTTTTCATTCTATTATAATACCAGAGCTAGGTCATGTAACGAAGCAAAATGATGAGAGATTCAGGACAGATAAAAGGAAGCGCCCCTCTCACAGCACATGGCCCAACTGGGGAATTAATTACCATACAAGTTAGTGATTGCTACCAATTTTGACTACTTTAATAGGGAGTTAGACAATTCCATGTGGGTGTGGGATGCTGGGATTCCATTCCATTCCAGTCTGTCAGGATTCTGCCACATTTCTTTTCTGGTAAAAGCAGCAGCAGAATGTAGCAGATTCCTTTCTCTTATTCCAGAAAAGAATTGCACTTTTTTCAGGTTCCATCATTTACACAAACTGTCATTTGCACAAATTGCTGGAGGAAGGTCTTGATATTTGCATAAATGTTATATTTTTTAAAGTATTGTTTATTGGCAATCCTGCACAAGTGTGCAAGATCACAAGATCTTTCTGCTAAATAGACCCACAGAAGTCTATTGCCCTCTTGTAATTATCTTTATCAGTTTTATCCTCTCCACCCACTAAGCTTTTTCCTAGCAGAACCATATTCTCTACTCTAAAACATGGATCCCCAAACTATGGCCCGCGAACCGGATCTGGCCCGCCAAGCCCATTTATCCGGCCCACCTCAGAGGTTTTGGACTCCCCACGCCCGCCACCTGCCTTGCCACCTGCACGCTCGCCGCTGCCTCGTCGCACGAGACAAGGTGGCGGCTTGCTCACTTGGAGATCATTTTGGACTCGCTCGGAGATCTCCAAGTAAGCAAGCCCCTCGCTGCCACCTCACCGGCCCAGCCCGCTGCCTCCGCCTTTCAAATGGCCCCCTGTTGAAAAAGTTTGAGGACCCCTGCTCTAAAAGAACTTGTCAATTCCCTCCCGCTCCCTACTTCCTTGGAAAGTGCCAAAGTGGAGGATGAAATTGACAAGTTCTTGACAGGTACAAAACATAGCTCTCCTCGGCTAAGTAAATCCAATTCGTCACATTTTTTTGCCATGATTAAGGTACTGATATTTGACAAGCACTCAATTAGATGCCTCTCAAATTGTTAGCAATTTTCTCCAAACTAGTATGCAGACATGGATTTCAAACCTATTCTTAACACTGCAGGCAATAAAGAGAAAAAGCCATTCAAGTTCATCCCAGCAATATTTTATCACCTACCTGCAGGAAACTGCTTGCTTCTACATGGAGAGCGAGGGTGACGTTGATAAAGATCACTTGATCCATAGAGGTCAAAACTTCCCATGCTCAGCAGTGTAGTCTTCTGCATAAAATCCACAACTGCCAAGCCACTGCAGTTTCCAAATGCAACTCTGAGAAAAGAAACATTCCTCAAGTACTCTGATATCTTTTTCAAAGCAGTGAAAGTATGGCAGATTTTTCTAAAATTAGGACACTGGTAAACTAAAAAGGAAGCTGAAAGCAACTGTCAAGAGCATTAAATTGCTTTCAAAACCACATTAATAGAAGTTCAGCTAGAAGGCAGCACTGAATATCTGAAGTCACCAGCACAGTTAATAAACAGTGCCAAGAAAGGTATCAAAATAAGGCTTCCTTCAGAAATTGAGTCTTGCTTAAATGAGGAAAACAGAAAGGAACACAAACTTGCATATAAGAAGGAATGCTTTAACATACTGCAAAGGGCTCATCACTAAGAACATCAAAACCAGTGACAAGTCAGAAGCAGGAAACTGGCTACGTACCACAGAGCAAATCAAGTAAAGAAATAGTGAAGGAGAATAAGGAGATTTCAGAGGAGCTGAATTAATTTTTTCCAAAGAAATAGGGCAGATTTTCTGATAAAACTGATATTTTCAGGAAGGAAACCTGCGGAACTAAGGCAAATAGTTGCGACCAAAGCTCATGTTTTAGACCTAACTGACAAAATGAAAGTGAATAAACCACATGGTCCAAATACTATCCATGTGGAATTTCTCTCACCATGCATAGCTGAAGTATGAGGTTCACTGCCACAAGATGTGGTGAGGGTCACCAACCCAAACAGCTTTAAAAGGGATGAAACAAATTCATGGAGGAGAAGGCTGCCCATGGCTTTTCCTAATGATGGCTATATAGTTCTTCCAGGGTCAGAGGTGTTATGCCGGGTATGACAGTTCCGGAGGAATATGAGCGGGGGGACGTTGCTGCATCCATGGCATGCCGTGGGCTTCCCAAGGGCATCTGCGTGTGCCTGTGGCCTGTTTTTGTGTGGCTTTCTTGAGATGTTGGCAGGGGCAGGCAACCTTGTGCAGTGGTCACATGCATTTGTCCAGAGGCTGCTTTGATGTACACAACAATATGCCATGGGCAACACACTACAACAGACCCCAGACAGATGCCATCTGTCATGTTGTTCTTTGACTGCAAGAAAAGTGCTGCCAAGAATAGCAGTACAAACACCTGCTTGGATAAATCTGTCTGAAAAAAGAAATATTTCATCTATTGTGTGAAATATTTATTACATTTATAAACCATTACCTTAGCCCTTCAGGGCTCTCTGGGTAGTCTACAATCCAAAACAAATATATAACAATAAAATGCATATGACAAAAGTTCGTACAATAAACATTCGTAAAGCAAACTACAATAAAATACAAGATACTCTGACAGAAAGCTACAACAAAATTACCTCAGGCACAGTAGTGACAAATATATCAGGTTAACTTACAATCCGTATGCTGAGTTTGCTGCCAGGCTTGTTATTTGTTGGGGAGGTTCACCATCTGCCCATACCAACTGAATAACCAGGTCTGCTTGGTACCCGGGAGGCATCCTCACAGCACGAGTCTTGACACTAAGAAGGAAAAGGGAAACAGTGACTTAAGTGACAAGGCTACACAGTGAGAATGGACTTGCATGGATGAGAACATTTCCCCCTCCTACAGTCCTTGGGTACAAAGAGCATGCACACCGGCTTGTTATGGAGTTACCTTCCAAGGACTTCTTGCAATTCTACACATTTCACTTGGAAGTAACTCTGACTTTGTTTAATGAGGCTTGTACTCCTGAACATTCATAGAATTGTGGCATACATGTGCATAAGATTTCTAAGTTTTCCCATTTATAATATTGAAGATTACAATACTAAAATGTAAGATTTCATCTTGCGTTTCTTACAACCAACCAAGTCATACTGTTTTTATATTTTATTTTATCGGGCTTCTGAGAACATGGAAGAATTGTGCTCTTCAATTGTGTTCTTTATTTTCATTGCTTCCTGGCCCAACGTGGGGGTTCACAGTGAACAGCATTGATTTCCTGCAACAAACTCCATTATCTAGACTCTAGACAAACTACGAGTCAGAGATGGGTATAAACAAACTTATCCTGAAGTTTCTGCAGTCTACAAATGGCTGGAGGAAAGTATATGCTTTCATGTTTTCATCCATGCTTGGTACTGGAGAAAAGGCTACTTTCGTAGCAATGGAAATCACAATGCTCTTTGCTTCCCTTGCTTGCCATGGGACACAGACAGGAGTCAGAGACTCGCAGCATGCCATTGAAAAGACCAGTAAGCATGAGGGACCCACAAGTCACATCAAAAACTGTGAGCAGTTGTCACTGTTAGGCAGAACAGACATCACACACCAGAGAGATGAAGACTACCATGGCTCTGTGACAGAGCTTGGGCAAGTAGTTGAGATGCATCCAACATCATCCCCCACATAGTTCTGTGTAACTTTCAAACTGGTGCCTCATAGTCACAAAAAAACAGGAGTGTTCAGCAAATCCAGTCAAAAGACAATTTAACCCTATGGCATTCATCTATGTCACCATGGAGTTTTACCTGTAGAGTAACATTATGCTCAAAATTCTTCCAGGGACCTTAGAATGAGCTGCTGGGGTGCATGCTGATGGTGGTGAAGGGTGACCTAAGGCATGAAGATCATCAGACAACACCTTTTGTTGCCACAGAAGCTGATGGCACCACACACATCTCTACTCACTCCAAATGGATTTGATTTTTCCTTGTGTCAACCAAGAGGGATCCCTGGTGGAAATGGCTATAGGCTCACATAGCTGCAAGGTTCTTGCACTGGAACTGTAACTGCAGTTCTGCTTCAGCAGATAACAGCTGTTCTTACAAGAAGCTGGCAAGATGAAAGCCATTGGCCAGAGGTATGATGAGGTGACTGTGATGAGCATAGCACACATGAGTACAGAAAAGGATCTGGGACATATTTGCACTGCCATGTGTTAGGAAAATTTAGATAAATCCTGGCAGAAAAATGTTTCTATATACCTTTGTGTTATAAAAGCAAACCTTCACCTCTTTCTCACAAACCACCAGCTTTCCAAGTCAGGTCACTGTTTACTGTTGCTGTTGCCTTAAGAAGATGGCATTCTTAGCTAGACTGAAAAACCTCACTAATACAGCTGTGTTCTTATCAGCTGTAGAAAAACTGAAATAACGGTGTTCATTTGTTTCTGAACAGACCCACCTAACACCTAGTCTCACAGAGGCGAGCCCCTACTGAGTGTGTTTGTCATATCAGACTTCCTGAAGGGCTCCTCCATCAGACACATTTGCCTGTTTAAACAGACAGACCCCGCTGACCTGAACTGTCAAGAATTTGCTAGAGTGACCTATCAATACAGCAATCAGTAATAATTTCCATACTATTGTTAGCAGTATTTCTGATGGTTTAGAACAGGGGTCCTCAAACTTTTTAAACAGGGGGTCAGTTCACTGTCCCTCAGACTGTTGTGGGGAGGGGTGGACTATAGTTTGAAAAAAATATGAACGAATTCCTATGCACACCGCACATTAAAAATTAATTAAAAGTATTGAAAAAGTAATTAAAATTAATTAAAATTTAAAAAATAATTTAAAAATGTTTGCTCTGCTCGTTCGGGCTGCAGCAGAAGCCCAAGATGAGGTGGAGAAGAGCATGTCCATATTCAAGGGACATAGCTACAATGTCCGTGATCGTGCTGGAGGGGAGAGACGGACAATGGACCCCCATCCCAGTCTCTCTCTCTGTTAGGCAGGAACCTCTTTCTCTCTTTAGAAATATAAAGCAGAATTAGTACAGTTCATCCAGGAGTGACCGCGGCCATGTTCCCGCACGAACATGATTGCAATCGCGACCTTCTTCCCTGCATGAACACAATCGCAACCGCAGTCATCTTCCCCCCTCCCCCGAGCACAACCGCGATCATCTCCCCTGCTCGCGGTCGCAGACAGACCTGTGGTCACTTGCTGTGAAGCTTATGGAATAATGGCCCTAAGAAAGTGCAGAGCAAGCATGGTGGTAAAAAGAAGGTGCAGAGCAGTAATGAAGGTGACAAGAACGTGCAGGTTTTTCGCCAAAATTGAACCTGCAGCGAAGAGACAAAGAAGAGAGGAAACCCCTGAAGGAGATCTCCCCGATGTTCTTATGGAGGAACAATAGCCTCTCCCCCACCTAGGTTAGTGTTCTCTACTGTACTGCACTTTGTTGTTCTTTGTTACTTTGTTTCAAATTGTTGTGATTAAAAAATATATTTGCAGAACGGATTAACCTTATTTACATTGAACCTTATGGGGAAATTTGACTGGGCTTGTGACCAATTCGGGTCGCGACCAGAGTCGTGGAATGGATTAAGCTCATGAGCCAAGGTACCACTTTATAAGAAACTGTGCATGAAATGTTTGTGAAAAAGGGATATACAATCTATTATTAATTCTAAAGCATTTATAAACTGATGTGGAAATGGGAACAAATAGGTGCTTGAAAAAATCAGAATTTTCTAGAAAGACAGAGATCCACCTGTATCTTATTCTAATTATATAAAGCATGCACAGCTTTTCCTTCAATGCAAACAGGAGGTGTAGGGAGTCCAACCTGGATCAGGACTTCAGCCTGATGATTAAATGATTAAAGAATCATTTATGATTGAATGATTAAAACACTCTATGCCAGTGAAGCACCTTGATCCCTATGAGCCCTGCTGTACCTGCCATTTACTTGTTTAAGAAACCACTGAAGCAACTAGTAGTTTATCAATGGCGTCTCAGCAACTTTCAGTACCACTGACCATGGTATCCCTCTGGGTTGGGCTTGGGAGGCACATTGTTAAACTGGCTCCAATATTTCCTAGAAAACTGATCTTGGAAGGTGATGCTGGAAGACATCAACAAAGCCCATAATAAAAACTGATAAAGCAGCAACAACAGCTGGCATGCTAGGTGAAGGCCAAAGTCAAGATGTACGCGATTCAGAAGCTTGCAATGATGGAGCCTGATGCTCCCTTATTTTTTCCACACAGAAAACTGAAGTAGCAGCCTTAGCAAAGTGCCAGGCCATATGCTTTATTCACAGAATCGCCCTAACACAGGCAAAGAAAGCAGAAGAAGAGCCTCTTGCCCACCCCCAGGGAAACGCTGGAAGACCAGGGAAACCCATCAGAGCATGGAATCAAAGAGACTTAAAAGGCCAGACTTATGCTATAGGGCATAAAAGAGGTCAGGAAGGATGCACTGAATAACTGCATCAAAAACACTGGATATGTTCAGAGAAATTTGGAATGAAGAACTTTATATTTTGTAGTTATGAGTCTCAGACTCATCACTGCCCTCATTTGTGAGGGTAGTCTCAGTGGCATGAAGGAGACACAAACTAGATTGCAAGGGGTGACGAGCAGAAAAAAAAAAAAAATAAGTGTTGGAGATGCTGTTGCCCAATCCTCTGAATGAAGACACTGATTACATCAATGACCTGGAAGAGGGGGTGACGAGTCTGCTGATCAAATTTGCAGACAATACTAAAATGGGGGTGGTGGCCACAACTGAGGATTCAGAAGGATCTGGACAGGCAATGGAAGTGGGCAGGGGACAACAGGAAGGCATTCAACATGGATCAGTCCAAGGTTTTGCACTTGGGGCATAGGAATGGGTGTCACAAGTACAGGGTAGGGGAGAAGTGGCTGGAGAGCAGCAATTGTGAAAGGGATCTTGGAGTACTGGTTGACCGCAGGCTAAACATGAGTCAGCAGTGTGACACAGCAGTCAAGAGGGCAAATGTCACCCTTGGATGCATAGCCAGAAGCATAGCTTCTAGATTACTGCCACTCTATACTACTCTGGTGCGCCTGCAACTAGAGTATTGGGTTCAGTTCTAGGCTCCACATTACAGGAAGGATATAGCCAGGTTGGAATTGGTGCAGTGTAGGGCCACAATCATGGCGGCCGGATTGCAGGGAAAGCCATATGCAGTGAGACTGAGCTCCATCTGTGAGGGTGTTCAAGGATAGGCTGGACATTTACATGGTAGGCATGTTCTGAGTGGAGCTGGGTGGAGCTGGTGGTCAGACTAGATGGCCTGGGAGACCCCTTCTGACTCACTCTGTTTCTATGTTTCTATATCACAATGAGGTAATCAGCTCTTTCTTTAGAGTCACCAATAGCTCAATAAGATCTCTGTGTGATCATCTGTATATTTAGAAGCCTTCCAGCTTTTTCTCATGAGCTCCATCCCACTGAAGAGCAGATGGTTTTCAGTTTTAACTTTTAGATACTTGAAGATTAAAAAACACTTTAGTTAGCTAAAAAACACTTTAGTTAGCTTTAGTTAGCTATTGCTTTAGTTAGCTATATGTGGTGTCACTCTTGCTTATTAGTTGTCTACCTGTGCTCTAATGCAGCCAAGCTTCAAAAAGAAAGTTGTGACAGACTGAATCCAGATCACTTCCCAGTTATATTCTCTGCTGCCCATCCTCCCTAAGAACCAGCTGTTTATGTTTGTATGACTTCATGTTAGAAGTTCAGCCTTACTATTTAAAAGGTTAAAACTATTCTACAAGCGCTGATAATGACAGATGGTGATTAACTCAGTTGGCTCCTTTCTTGCTGTGTACATAAATATTTTAAAAAAGCTTTTCTAGAGTTCACATCTAACAATATGAGACTGGACTTCAGTAAATTCAGTAAAGACCAATGAACTGGAAGAGAGGATGGCATTTTACATATAAACATGGTTTCAATACTAAATCTATCACTAAATTAAGTCTCCTATGTTTACAGACTCCCATTTAAGATTATTTTGCTTTTAAAGTATCTTTCTGATTTGGTTAGTATTGCTGTGTAGCTTTCTTAGGGATGCTTTACAGATGATCTACAAAGTGTACTTCTTCCTCTTTGAGAAGGTGTACTCCACTGTACTCAAGCCTGAATAGTGCAGAAGGCTTCATATTTTTCCTTAAAAAATGATTTGGTGAGCAGAGATGGGAAAGGAGAGAGGGGGAGAGAATGCATTTTTGAGGTATAGATATCATCTATCGAAGCTAATGCAAATTTTTCTTCTCTTGAAGATTACCTACGGTATGTTACTCTATGCAAGCTTGAATTTGAACTGAACTCCAGAGAAAGTATAAGATCATGTCATAGCTGTGCCTTAAAATGTGGGTGGCATAGCCATATGCTTGAAATAAATACTGGAAAAGTAACTATTTCTCAACCCCACAAAATCCCCAAAGCTGTCATGTCTTAGAACTGTAAGCCCCAGAAATTCAGCATGTTACATAAAAGGTCATTAGGAACCCAAGGAATTAAATACATAATCAAACAGGTAACTGGTAACAATAAGAAAGATATGGTATATGTTTGCAAAAGGTAACTTGTAAAGCAGGTGGAATAATATCCAAAAAGAAAAACTGGATTAAACCTTATGATAACAGATTGAACCGGGTTATGGGAGAGATTAAGAGCAGAATCCTAAGCATGCTCAGACAGCCAAAAAAAGTCCTACAGTTCATAGCATTATTCAGCCAGCACAAGATTGCACCCAAGAGAACATAAAACTATATTCTTCTGTGTCAAAGTAACCTCACAATTTTTGCTTGCCGTTAGTGAGCAAAAGATACTGAATGAGATACAGACATTAAAAAGTCTGATGAATCGATGCCCAGAAAAATATGCACTCATGTTCAATTAATAAACTTAGAGTAAGAAATTGTTTCTGACCTAAAAGATAAATTTTTAAATATTTGTATATGTGCTTTGATCATGAAGGATTTTTTTAAGAAGTCAAGAATCTTAGGCCAGATTTATAAAATCACAGTTTGTGCTGGCAGAATGAATGTGGTTATATTTCAGCAATTCAGCTTGATTTGGGGATGGGGGGGGGTGGGGGGCAGACAGCCTTTTTGATACTGAAACTCCTTGCTTGTGATTCTGACAAACAATTCTGCAGAGAAGTCTTAGCAAAGTTCTCTTTAGCGATAGCAATTAATTCTTAGAAAATATAACCTCCTTTGCTTTTAAATAATTCAGTACTTGTATTTTATATGGAAATATACAGCTGCATCAAGAAAGAAATGAATTCAAAAATTCCTGAACTAGAACTGTCAATACAAGACCGGGACTGCAACCTGCCAAACACTCCTAGCTATACATACACTTCGTTTAAAGATGCATTTATCTACTGTAGAGAGTTAACAGGCAGCTGAAGGCTCTCAGAATACTGAATTAAGAGCAGACAGCTCAAACAAAGCAAAACCATCACAATTACTCCTCATACCTAAGCCACTGAAGAAGGCTGTGTAGTTGAAACACCTCTGGCTATTAGGCCTTCTGTTCACAGCTTTCACCTTAAAGCTGCTCTGTGGCTGTGTACAGATTTGTAAGACTGCTTGTCATTAATATGCTAGGTAACAAAACATTAAATTTAAGCACTTAAGGGTGCGACCCTATCAGTGGTCCTCCCATGAGCATAGGCTCCTGGTCCTGCTTCCTTGCAATTCAGCTTGATGGCTAATTTCAGCCATCTACTTGAGGCACTTCAGATCAAGAGCAAACGGGGTTGGACTGAAGTGCTGAAGGCACCTCGTATCAGTATCCTCTTTCCTGCTTGCCACTCTGTCCCCTTCACCCCCTCTCTGAGGTTGATTTTCCCACCTGGGAGAAGCAGCCAGCTGTGAGAAGGGAAGGGATTAGACTATGACTCACCGGCTCCAGGTTCAGAGTTCTGCCTCTAATCTTGGATCTGGGGATCCAAAGTATTCTGTCTAGGGCCCATAGGACTGCGTTCTAAGTATTTTCTTTGTCTCTTTGACCCAAAAATATTTTGCTAACACTCTGCAATGATGGAGCATTGTTCCCAGGTGGCATACTATGGAAAAAGTGCCAGACCCACTGGAATGTATTTCTCAGGATTCTAGAGAAAATACTTTACATCCACAATACATGTAAAGTACATCCGCAGCTGAAGGATGATGCTCTGTCATGAGGGAGACTTATTCTGAAGCCATTATGTTCAATTAGGTGAGGTGGCACAGTGACCAGGGTGTTAGACTGGACTCAGGAGATCTGGGTGCTCGTCCTCACTCAGCCATGAAGCCCACTAGGTGACTTTGTTACAGTTACAACAAGGTGGCTGTAAAGGTAAACCACAGGGGAGGAGGACTATGTAAGCTGGCCCATGTTCTTTACAGTCAGAGGAAAGGCAGGAGATGCACACTCAGTCACCATCCTCTTTATCATGATCCGTCAATGAGTATGGTGTTCCACAGTATAACACAAGCAAAGGAGCAGGGGAGAGACAGACAGCACCCATCTAAACTTTGGCCCACAAGAAGACGATCAAGGGAGGTAAGAATAAAATGTCGAATAGCCTAAAATTATTTACCTGAGGCATGGACTACTATCCTTCGTTTCTTCAGATTCCACAGTGTTTGTACTGCCTGAGAGATCTTTTAAAGATGAAAGATGAGAAGAGGCATTTGGAAATGGAGTGCTCATTTCTGCCTCTGGACTAATGGTGTATTCTGCTTCACTTTGAAGTTGTACTTCTAAAGACTTAAGGAAATAAAAACCCAAGTTATTTTATGAAACCAGTATATATCTGAAAAGAATATTAACAGAGAATACACATTATTGGCTCCTGTACCTGTATCTATACAGATGAAGAACTTATTGTGCAATCCTATGCACATATACTGAGAAGCAAGCCCCAAGAGTTTAATGGGGCTTACTCCCAGAGCAGACTGTACCATATTGTGACTGCAGAAGCCCAGGGCCCTGGAATAAATGCCAGCATTTGATGTCATCAAAATCCTCCCTTGTAGCCAAATAAATGGCCTGTCAACAAGAGGGAGATTAAATGAAGTCAAAAGTCTTGAAATGTAGGCTAGTTCTGATGTTCAAGGAAATGAAAAGGTTTCCTGCCCCCTAAGCAGAAGAAATTTCTATAGCTAGGCTAGAGCTAGGACCCCTGCCCCATAGCTCTAGTATTGGTAGCAACTGGAAGACATTTTGGTGAGGAGTTATGTGTGAATAGGTAGTTCCCAGCATGCTGCACAGGCATTAAATGTAGCTACAGAAAAGAGTTTGGTGAGAAACCTGTAGGTGCTCCGTCAGGTAACTACCTACAGGCACTCTGAATTCCTTACCTCATCCTCAAGATAAGGATGTTTACATTCCCTTTTACTAAAGTTAAGTAGGACAGCTGGTCTTTCTTTCACCTTCCCTCTTCTTGACTCCCAGGAAAGGGGGCTAGCTTGTGTATGGTGGCAGCCTTTGAAACAGAGGGAGAGAGGAACTGCAGAAAACCCATGGCAGCCAGGAGTGGGGACTGGGCACATGAGAACTGTAGCCTTCCTAGTCCATGTGGGTGGAATGCATGTCCTGTGCAGACTGGGACCGGAAAGATTTGACACTAATGGAATTAAGAGAAGGAAAGTCAATGTCCGTATACTGTTAAACAGTCTAATCTCTTAGACTAGGAGTGCACAATCCATGGTCAGTGGGCTGCATACTGCCCCCCAGGGTAACCCCTGTTGCAGAACTGACAAATAATTTTGCTATAATTGTTATCTGAGCTTTTTGTGTGGTCAGGAAGGAAATCCAGCACTCTGAATGTGAACAGCCAGTATGTCTCAGAGGAGATGCTGCTGAGAGACCTCTCTGGCCCTCTCTGCATCAGAACTGCCACTGCTGAGAGAAGGCATGCGATGTTTTTGTTGTGTTTTGTGTTTAAGCAAGTGCAAAACAAAACAAATGGTGTAGGGGAAGGGAATTAAACCGAAGTGGTGAATTGATAGCATGTGATGTTTAAACAAAAGATCAAACCGTGAAATAGAAGTCCCTAGTTTACTCAGACGCAAGGCAGAGTGTATGTAAAGATAGTCCCCCCTCCCCCGACTCAACCTCAGCTTCTGGAAGAAGTTCTCCTTGGGAGGAGGGCCTGCCCACAAGGACCCCTTCACTTCTGAGCAGCCTGCCTCTGCAACTGTGCAGTGATTGTTCTGGCCTGCCTCCTGAGACTCTGCCTTCTAAGGCAAGGTGCTTGCTCAGCCTCTGCCACAGGGGAGGAGTTCCCCTCCTCCGGCAAGGGTGGATCCACAAGCATCTCCCCCAAGGGCCCAGGCTCCTCCTGGTCCACCTATCTGCCCTCTGGCATTAGCTGCTGCTGGATGTAATTTATCTCCAGGAGCTCCGCTTCTTCCTCAGAGGCAAATACCTCTGGCAGAAGCATGGCAGAGACTGTCTGGAGAATTCTCAAGGGATACGTTTTAGGCAGGACCAAAGCAGTACTCATAACTGTGCTCAGTGTCAAGAATAAAGTGATGGATGGGACTGGTGCCAAAATGGCCAGTGTGAGATCTGTAGGCACCAGGGACCCAGCTGGTTCTAATGTTGGCTTTACTTCTTCTCAGAAGCTTTCTAGTTCATTGACTTATTAGGCAGCCTGGGGATCCTATGGCATGAGGCTGGCGAGAGTGAAACTGGAAGTAAGTGTCTGAGGAGCCTAGGAGGGCAAGGTACCTTGGCCTGGAAAGCCCCTGAGGAAGGGAAGATGACTCTGGAAGCAGGGGCTCCTTCTTATCTGAGTCTTTTCTAGAGCCTGAGAAGGGGGTTGATGGCAGTATATGTGGCATTCTTCAACTCATGGAGGCGAAGGTGACAGCCTCAAATGAACTACAGTGACCATATACTGACAGCTATGGTTCTGAGACAAAGATGACAGGATGTCATTGATAGCCATGGCGTCAATAATATGTGGATTTGGAAGAGGGGTAATAAGAGAGGCTTCAATGGCCATCCTTCAGCATACAGGGCTGCCATGATTCTCCCCGATCATGCTGAAAAGTGGTGCTCCCAACGTTTGGCAAAGCAACACTGAGAATGTTATGCTCTGGATGTCTTCTATACTCTGTACTCCAAAGAAGATCAACACAGAGCAACACAACATTGGGTAGGTCTGGAAAACAAGGAGGCATTCATTACTGAACCACTGATGGTGCTGTTTATGCAGGAGGCTCTCAAGACCTGGCACCCTCCAAGGAGTTGCTTCAAGTTCCCTTACATCTCTGGCTGTGGTTAGAACAAAACCGACTGAGAAGGTGAGAGCAGCTCCCACTGACCATGCAACGGAAGGGTAAGGGTGGTACTCCCACCAATCACACAGAAGCTATAGAGGTTTTAGTGTTTTTAGCAAAAAAAAAAAAAAAAACCACCATTGTCCAGGTTTGCACGATATGGCAAGCTGTGCTGCAAAAGTAACTATATAAATTCCACACACCCCCCCCCCCACCTTGGCATGTGATTGTCAGAAGACATGGTGGGAGACATAAAGCATTATGGCTTATTTCCCCCACTGTGCACATGGAACCTGGGTTATTATCTCTCCTATCTGATATTTATGACCACATTTCAACTATTCATCTATTTCTGTGGTAATCTGGAATCTCAACTGCATTTAAAAACTGCCCATCGAGCCTTCAAATAAGCAAAACTCACACAAACTTACTGATATTTCAGAATTAACTTCATGTTTGCTGAATCTGTAAACAACAACATATCCAGAGGCTCCTGCTATGCAGAACACTCTACTTTCTGGACACCAATACATCAACTGGATAGCAAAAGGATCCTCTTCAACTATTTCTCCTGCTGATTTTCCTTCCAGCTTCTGTTTTTCAAACACTTTTGAGGTCTTCAACTTGTACAACATCTGCAGGGTAACTGTGAAATGTTGAGAAAATCCATTGCGTTAGATTAAATAAATGATTAATATTAATTTGTAATTAACACAATCACAGACTTTTTTAGTATTGGAAGACAGAAGGGTAAAGTACTGCAAAAGTAAATAGTACATAATTTATGTACAGGATTGTATGTATTATTTTTTTCTCTGATCTTTTTCAATAAAGGTGACCAAAAGGAGACACATAATGCACTAAGAGACATAAGGCCTTACTGTCCAGAATGTAATAAAAAGGGCAGCCTTTCAACATAAGGAGTGTTGTCCTTGAAATTCATATTTAAAATACCCTTACAGTTCTGAATCCATTAAACATGCTAAGTTAACTGATTTGTGATATAGATTATATATAACATGGAATCTTGCAGACTTATCCTATTAATCTGGACCATAATCTTCCAATATGTGGACATGATCTCCAGCTTGGCCAGCTTGCTGTTTTTGTTTTGCTTTATTTTTTAAGTGCAAAACCTGGGAATTTTTCTTACCACAGATTTCTTTTTGTAAGGAAGGCAAGAGGGCATTTACCATAAGCCAAATTCAAATTAATACCATTCAAAGGATGGTATGGCAAGAAGAAAAATCCAGCTTTCTGCCATGGAGGCAGGGCAGTATTCAATTCAATTGCCTTTCAGATACAGCCTAGCAATGCTTGGAATGGCTAGATATTCAGGCAGATCATAAGTCCTTACCTGGAGGACCCCTCTCCCATACAGGGCCTCATGCAGTATGTAACGAGGCAAACCTTTGCACCTTTTAGGTTAACTCTGGGTTATTTAACCAATGTAATGAAGCAACCTATGATCTGGCCAATTGGAGGCTGCATATTTTAAAGAGCAGTGGAACATGCACAGTCTGCAACCCAATAAACTGAGGATTAACCCACAACTAGCTGTTGCTACATGCAAACAGGGCTGCTATGTGAAGATGTACATATGGAAAGTTCATCTGGTTTACAAGTAACATTGTTTGTCCCAAAGGGAGCAGTCTGAAAAAAAGAGTCCAGTATAACTTAAACCCTGTGTGACGATGCACCTACAGAAAACACACCCAGTTTCAAAACCAGATATAATTTAACAACTTTTGGTATAAGCTTTCTCTGCAATTGACAATAACCTATTAAAGGAAGAATGAAATCTTAATATTGCTCTGTGCAACCAATACTAAATTGGTTGTGGTCGGTGACCAAAAGAATCGGTAGGCTTTAATTTGTGCTGCCAGATGACAAAGAATCAAAATAACCATTGCCATTTCCTCATTTTAAAGGATCTCGTTATGTGTGGGAAGTGGAAGGTGTTAAGGTGGCCTTGGGCATGAATAACCAACTGGGTTTGCCTTCAGCCGCACACTCCTCCCTTTCACATAACTAGAGAATTTTGCATTCCATTCCCATGCTACCCTTTCAGCGATGGGAAGCATCAAAGCCCTTTGTTTTCTAGGTGTTCCTTTCCCCTTTTCCCCAGTTGCTTCAGCTGTGGATTGATCACATGGATATGTGGCAACCCAGGGCATCTTAAGCACAGTCTATCCCAGGATCAGGATAACTGGTCACATGAAGGCAAAGCCACAATAACTAGAGTATTACAGCCTTCAGTTTCAGTGACTTGTTAGGCAAGTGACTATATGGCAAATTTAGGTATACACTGAATGTATACTGTGCTGCCAAGAGATACATTGTTCATTTGTACAGTTCTCTACAGCTCATTACTGTCAATAATACATTCCAAATACACGCATTTTATTTACAAGTTTCAACCACTGTAATTAATCTCCTTCCTTTCAAATCTGTATCATGTATTTATTAATTTAGTAAGAATTGTTCTTATTTATTTATTTACACTATTTTACCCCGTCCTTTACAAACATCCCAGGACGGCTTACAACATAAATAAATCATAGTGATAAATAAATACAACAAAATACAATAACATAACAAGAAACTTACTGGCAGAAGCATCCCAAAATTTTACTGATCCATCTGCATGTCTTAAAAAGAACAGAGTAAAAGTCAACTTAAAAGGATACCAAATGGTTACTGCCTCATTCAATATTACAATACCTCTGTGGAGACAGAGTATGTGCCTTGGCCTCCCTCTCCCTCTGGTATTTAAATGGAGCCCTGCTGTCAAGCCAGCTTCCCACTGCCCTTGCTAGGCTGGTCATAAAAAAGCAGATCTTCTGTGTGATTCCTCAGTGCAACTTCATTGTTTGCCAGCACCAATCAGGGAAGTGTTTCTGGGTGTTTCTGGGTTTCAGGGTGCTTCTGGGTTTTAATTGTATTTGTATTATGTTTATTTATTTATGTATGTGAGCCGTCCCAAGGCTATAAGCGATGGGACGGCATACAAAAATTCTAAATAAATAAATAAATAAATAAATCAAATAAGTGTCCCCTAGAAACATGTCCCAGGTGTTTCAATGGAAGGCAGGTTTTTATTGGTGCTGGCAATGTGCACATTCCTCCTCCATTCTCTTCTAAGATGTACTTAGTGAGTATGGAAAGGTAGCAGGATGAGCAATCTTTGGGATGCAGGAGAAGACAAGTCTCTTGCATGGACTGAATCATGAAATTAAACCAATTTATGGGGAGAAGGCCACAGCTACTACAGTGACTCTCTACACAAATGACATTTTGAGGTTTTGAATGCATATTAGAAAAGAAGTCCTTGTTCTTTGCTTTCTGCTGTTACTCAAGCATGCATCGATTTGTACATGTCTGTACAATTTGTACATGTCTGCTAAAGCTGACAGAACACATTCTAGTGCACGGCATTTGCAAATGGCAAGCCTCTTCTTCGAGAGGAATTTGATCTCATCCAAAACAGGCAATTCTTTCACTTTCCTGGTTGTCCAACTGCCTCACATCAGTAACTCTGTCCTTTCTGGATTAAGTCTCAGTTATGCACCCTCATCCAGCCAATTGCTAACTTCAGGCGGTCATTCAAAATGGTACCACTATACCTGATTTAGTTGAAAAGGAGTTGTATATCATTACTATAGTGAAAACTGCTCTCTTCAAAAATCCAAACTTTCCAAGCAGATCCACATGGATGTTAAAAAGCACAGAGAACAAAATGGCCTCCCCAAAGGACTCTTATAAGGAGCAACAGTAACCGAGTGCTATTTCCTAGACTCTTCCAGAAAGGCAAGCAGTGCCCTCCACCCAGCCAATGTGCTTTTTGTACAAGGATACAGTTATCAATTGTACTAAGAGCTTCTCAGAGGCTGAAACTCCCCACTTCTCCTGCAAGTAACTGAAAAAAGGGGAGCCTATTCCCAGTCTTAGGTTAGAAGCCAAACTGATAATCTAGATAGTTTATATAATCCAAGAATAGCTAGGGTGACTCAGCTACAGCAGTTAGTTTGACAATCTTGGCAAAAAAGAGAGTTTGGAAACTGGCCAGTAACTTCTCCCTCTCCCAAAACTGAGGGAGAAGTTTTTGTTAACAAAAGTCTCACTATCACTTAAAAACAGATTGTAGTGATACCTCCCTTAAGGAAGCATTTATTACACATATTGAAAAGGCCAACAGTTTTTCCTCGGGATCTTTGATATTAGCCGTACTAGGGTCAAAAAAGACAAGCAAACAGAAGAAATCCTGCCAACATTCTTGGATGTTAAGAACTAAAATGCATCCAGAAGATGAGCAGGATATCTTTTCTATAAAGTATGAAATAACACTGGGGTCAACAATAAAGGAGTTGTAAGCAACCTCTGTAAGCAAACTCTGAAAGCAATACAGACTCTTTTCATGCCCAGTTGTAAAAGTCATGTGATGGTATGGAAAACCTCAGTCACATGAGACAATGCAGAGGCAATAGCTGGCACAGAAGTACAATATTTCAGCACCATTACTATGAAGCAGGCCTTCAAATGGTCAATAAACTGGACCAGATTCTCCTTGGCTTTTCTTGCTCCTTTACTTAAGTCATCATTATCATCCCTACTGCTTCATCCTCTTCAATTCATGGACTCAGGCACTGGTTACAAGACACCTACTACTGTGTGATCCTCCTGACACAACTTCCTATATGAAAAGACAATTAGGACAGCTGATAATGTCAGCTAAAGTGATCATTCTAATGCGTCAAGTTTCAGGACTGAGTCATTTCAGTGGGTCCACCACTCCTTCAATAACTGGAACCATTTAAAAATAAATTTCTTACCCTGTAATAATAATTTCAGGATATGTCTGTGCTCCTAGATTCCATGCTCCACCACTGATAGGCCACTCCTGAACACAATAAGAATGTCATTCTAGAAGTTATATTTAGAATTCTGAAACATGGTTTTGGTTTTTTTAAGTAACATTTTACAGTTATACAGTCATTAACATTATCTGTATTGTTTTTAGGATAAGCTGGAGGAAATACTGCATTAACAAACTTTTGTGCCCTTTATTGCATTGAGCTTTCAGTGGCAATTTTGCATACATGGTTAAGATCTTTTTGCTCTCCAATGCTGATGGTCCACCTTGAAAATATAAGCTTTAGTTAAAATAAAAACAAGTTTCTAATCCCCACTGTTGAAGAGAGATGTCTGAAAGCAAACTAGCAGATTCTGCTCCAATATTAAGAGAAAATAGGTCTTTCATGACTACATATGTCTCCCTGATGAAATTGAGATTTTACATACTTCTGCCTAAGTACTTCTACGGAACATATGTTCAAACTTCTCTGCACAAACGTGGATTAAACATTAGGTTCATATTAAAACCAAGAGCAATTTATCATCCCAAACAGATTCCTCAGTGGTGTTCTGTATTGTACTAATCTGCAGAAAGCAGAATTTTCTTGGGTTGCAGAACATTCTCCGTCTGCTCTCTGCATCTATTAATAAAGTCAATATTCCTACCACACTCCAGTATGGCTTTGTCATAACAAGACATGACAAAATGAAGGGGGTATTCCTGCTTTTTCCTACTCCGAAGGCCCCTCTCTGTAATACATCTAAGCGCTAGTTAAGTCAACACATTATCCAACTCCCAGCTCAACTAGCAAGATGCCACTGTTCTTCAAAGCTGCACTTCCCTCCTCTGTCTGCACCAGCCACAGAATGCTCAAGAGGCCATTTTAGCTGAAAAGATCACAGCTAAATCTGCCATTCCTCTGTGTGGTACAAAACTGGTTAGATCATTATGAGAAATGCACTAACTGAAAGGCCTACTTGCTTAGCCCAGTCCAAAGGTTCCCTTCTTCATCCCTCCCAGTTGGCCAAATACATTCAAGCCTTGGAGTAGGACCTATTTCTCCCATAATGGCCAAGAGACGTTCATGGTACACTGAAGCCATGTTTAGCATTAGTCTGACAGCCAATTCTCTACTTTAAAACATTCTTGTGATGGAGTAATATGGCCAGTAGGAAAGTGGATGGCTTCCCTTACTATGTTCCACTGCTTTCTGCCTGAACTTCTTCCCCAAAACATTTTAACCTCATCAGGTCTGATTCATCTGTACCTCACAAATACAGGTATAGAACCCCTTGTGAGAAAAACAAATTTGAGGGGATTGCAGTGGAAAAGGAGTGGGCATGAAAACAGCAATGTCATGTCATGAGTTCCTGAGGGTAGCCAACAGAGTTTCATGGCACCTTCAAGACCCATCGCACCCACCCCACCTGCCCCCTCAAAAAGGGGAAAAAATCTGGTATAACCTTGCATGGGCACTGCTGACGTTATCAAATCTCTTCCCAGTGCCTTAGAAAACTACTTTTGGAAACATGGAGGGAAAGACAGAGATAAGAGCTGCATGAGTCCACAGCTCCTCATTGGGCATATTGCCCCCAAGAGGACTGGGACTAAAGTATTTGCATTCCTAGCGAAGAAGTGCCAGTCTTCATGCTGACAAGGCCTTTGCTTTGGCAGGAAAAACTGTTAAATTGTCCTTTTCCTGCTGGAAATGTAATTCCAGTCATAGAGGGGAAAGATGGTTGACCAGGAGCTGGGAGTGCCTGTTACACTACCCCTGTTGCATGTCCATTTCTTCATCTTCAGAGAGAAGGAGAGGGAGATATTGACAGAGTGGGCACTTTGAGGCTGTGTGTGCAGACATATTTATGCATCCTGCACTATACTGTGGTTGGAGTCTACTACCAGTCACCTCACTGAAGAGAAGATGTGAACGATCTTTTCCAAGAGCAAACTGCAGATATTTCCAGGAAGTATGGAGGAGGGGGAAGTGTTAATTACCGGTACAGAGTTTGGGAGACTAATTGTGCCATGCAAGTTTCTCCATGAAATTTCTGTCTTGCTTTGCCAATGACTTCTCCTTCATTGAGGGTGGAGGAAGAAATGATAGGCTCAAACATCCTTGGCATGATTCTGATTAATAATCACCCTAGTTCAGTGATGGTGAAACTATGGCACGTGTGCCATAGTGGGCACACAGAGCCCTCTCTGTTGGCACGCGAGCCAAGTCGCCCCAGCATCGCCCCAGCAGCCATGCACATATTCGGAAAAAGTAACAGTGCCAGGTGACAACGACACTTGTTAGCCACAACTCGCCGCAAGAGGGGGCGTCAAACAGGTGGCCAGAGGCAGATGCAACAGTTGCGCCAGGTGCGCCAAGAAGGGAGCAGGTGAGCAGTGAGCAGGTGTGTCAAGCGCTGGCAGCGGCGCCCTCCTCCTGCCTCCTCCTCCTCCTCCCCCCAGCCTGAAGCATGTGAGCAGCAGCCCAAGCCACCCTCCTAGCACAGTGGCAGGACCCTGCTGACTGGGTAGCTGCAAGCGCAGACAGGAAGCCGTGTGCCCGCCTGCCTGTGCGCCCGCTCCTGTGCCACTGGCTGCAGGGGGTGGGTGGGAAGCTGGATGAAGGGAGCAAGTGACAGGGTTGAAGTGGCAGCTCAGCAGCAGCAGCTGGAGCGAGGAGGAGGAGAGAGAGGGTGCCCAGGATCGATATGGTGATTCCTGGGGAGGGAGGCCAAAACGAGGAAAAGTGGAGGCTGGAACTGCTGCGAAGCGAGAGGAGTGGGCATGTGGCGGGGACCCTCCTCCCTACCCGACCCCACTCGCCAAGGCTTGGCAGTGCCGTGGGGGCACCTCGAGGAAGTTCCCAAAGGAAGCGTGGAAGGGATCAGTGATAGCCTCTCCTCACCTTTAGTTTAGGTCTCTCTCCCCCCCAATTCCACCCCTCCGGTAAACTTTCAAGCGCTGCCAAAGTTTCTGTGGCATTCCTGGTGGCTGGTTTGGGGGTGAGGAGGGAGGGAGGAAGGGAGGGAGTGTGCGTGCCTAGGTGCAAGCAAGCCCGGTGTCCCCCAACTTTGGGGCAATGAACGTGAACATGGCTCCTTCTCTCTGTTATTGTGTTTTTCTTTTAAGACAAAAGATGTGAACGTATGAGTTGTTTTTTCTAAACAAAAACCTCAGTATTCAGGTTTTATTGCAGTGTTGGCCCTATGTGATAAATAAGTGGGTTCTGGGTTGCAGTTTGGGTACTTGGTCTCTAAAAGCTTCGCCATCACTGCCCTAGTTGATTGGGTGAAAGGACCAAGAACTTTGGATCAAAGTGGGGATGTAATGCTTCCATTCTTGATTATAAAATAAACTGAAGAGGAGAGTAGTAAAATCTATACCTTGGATTTTGGAAACGCTGATTTCAATAAACTCAGAAAAATGGGAGTTTCTGAAAGAGGAGATACTAAAGATATGATCAGAAACAACGATCATAGGAGAAAGCAGCAGCAGCAGCAAAAGCTAGTCTGGTTGCATAAAAGGCTTAGCAGAGATCTGCAAAACAAAAAGGACACATATGGGAGGTGGCAGGCAGAACATGATCACTAAGGAGATGTACAGGCAAGGCAGCCTGAAAATGCAGGCATGGAGTCAGGATGGCTAAAGCTGAAAAGGCTAAAGCTTAGAAAGTCGGTGTGGGATGCTTCATCAGATACATCTGAAGTAAAGAAGGACAAAAGTGACCAGCTGCTCAGCAAAGTTGGCAAAATGATGATGGATGACAAAGACAGAGCTGCTCAGCAATTATTTTAACTCAGTCTTCTTCCAAAAGAGGTTCTCAGACCCAACTGGCACATTGGCGAAGCAGACTGAAGGGGTAAGGACTGAAGTCTGAAATCAGCATAAGATTGTCAGTGAATTTCTAAGCATCTGAAATGGTTCAAATCCCCAGGTTGTAAGAATTGCTTCCTCAGCCGTTGAAAGAGCTAGCACATGGACACAGAATCTGGAGAACAGATGAAGTACCAGAATACTAGAGGAAGTCAAATATGCAGAAATGACAAAGAAAGAAGAGGAAGGTCTGAAGAATTACTGAGCTGTCAGACTGACATCAAAACCTGGGATAATTCTACATGGCAGAACAGATCGATCTTGTCTCTGAAGGAGAAGGAGGACGTATATCTCTACCAAACTTGGAATTCATTTTATTACCAGCTAGAGAAATGGGACTATGCATAGATTTGAATATGACTATTGACTGTTAAATGAGGAAGATGTTAACCCAGTATATCTGATGTCTTAAATAATCATTGTTTTTAAAGTCAGATTGTTGTGAAAATAATAAAATTGATTTCAAAAAAAACCTGGGATGATTCCAGAGCAGATTATAAACTGCTTAATCTATACGAACCTTGACACTATTGCAGTGTTCGTGGGAAGTCAAGAACCAACCATGATGGAGTAACCTTATTTCATTTTTGAAGTTTTTTGGGTATGCATGCAACTTCCTTAGTAGATTGTGGAAATACTGCAGGTGTGATATATCCCGACTTTAACTTCATAATCATTTGACTCAGTGCCCCATGATATTTTGATTATGAAGCTAGTCAAGTGCGTGCTGGATTACAATACTACTAGATGGATCCACAGCTGGCTGGAGAATGATTTAAAGAGTGCTTATCAGTGGTTTGTCATCAAACTGGAGGAAAGTATCAAGTGGGGTACTTGGGCTTTGTAAGCATCAACATTTTTATTAATGCTGTAGGAGGAGATGTAGGAATTGCATATGATAGAATATTGGATGGGATAGCTAATACCTTAGGTTACCATAGAAGATAGGGCAAAACCCTCAAAATGAACTTAGATTTGAAAACTGGTCAGAAAATAATAGGGACAGAGACAACAGAAGAATAGTTTCAGAACCATGGAAAGTAGTTCTACTCTATCCTGCTGCTCAGACCTCACCTCAAATACTGTGTCCAATTCAGGACACCACACTTTAAGAAGGATTCGGATAAAATGTTAAGGGCAACTTAAATGATCAGGGTGTGAGAACCTAAGACCTACAAGGAAAGATGGAAGGAAGTGGCTATGTTTGACCTTGAGAAGAGAAAACTGAGTAGGATATACTAGCACTTTTCAATACCTTTAGGGCTGTCACACAGAAAATGACCCCAATCTTTTCCCTATCATCCATTTGGTTTAAATTACAGGAAGGCAGACTTCAGTTAAACATCAGGAAAAGCATCCTGTCAGAGCAGTCAGACAAGGGAAACAATCAGGGAGAGAGTGGGTTCTCCACTGAGGAAGGATATTTGAGCACAGACTAGACAGCCATCTGTCAGGGATTCTTTAAAGTGGATTGCTGCACTGAGATCAAAGGGGTTTGATCTGGATGGCCTAAGCGGCCCTTCCAACTCTATGATCCCACTCAGTATTGCATTCTTTTGTTCCTTCATTGCAAATCATCTGTCCCTGAGGCTTTGGAGCAGGGAAGTGGCTGTTAGGCTAATGTTGCATTTGACTTAGAGTGTACTGTAGTTTCCTCTAAAGTGAATAACCACCATTCACTCCTGTATGGAAGAGTAATTGTAACGGTGTCAGTCAGGGCCCAGGACACAATCCAGGGCCAGCACCAGGCTTCAGTTAGTCTTCAACCCAGTCCTGTAGCCCTGGCTCCTGTCCACTTGCCTGCCAGATGTTTACTGTTCTTGTTTATTGTGTAAATGTTTGACAGATTCTGTATTACTTTTGTTTTGCAGTTTCATGTTTATGCCACTACAGCTCAGGTGCCTAATGGAGGAAAGCAACAAATACAATATAAAAATAAGCACAGAGTGCAATCTGATTCTACTCTTGTCTGAACATAACAGTGAAATAGTGATGTAACCATGACGCTGAACAGCAGGCAAGTTTTCATTGGATGGCAAGTCCTCAGGTTTAATGGGCATCACATAAAACTGACGAACTTCTGAGCTAACGTCACAACACTAAAAACTCATTAACACAGAAACATAGAAACTGAACAAGTCAGAAAGGGTCTCCTGGGCCATCTAGTCTGACCCCCAGCTCTGGCCAGCTCCACTCATGACATGCCTACCATATGCATGTCCAGCCTAATAGAAACATAAAAAAACCTAACAGAAACATAGAAACAAATTAAGGCTATGAAGACTTCATTAAAATGGAGACTATGATGTGTGGAGAGTATAGAACATGATACAGCCTACTTGCCCCTCCCTATGCAGCACCAGGCTGTTCCAGGATATCGGAAGTCACTTATACCTGCATACAGTCTGCCTGCTCTACCCGATCAAAGCAGGAGGTCACAAAGTTTGAAGCACCAAGTCGGGAGGGGGAGAGTGAGGAGGGGGCTGCATTATGCCTTGTAGTAATATGTCTGCATATGCGCAAAATTTCTTAAAATCTCAAAGCGTGAAATTAAGAAAAATGAAAGGTTTTAAAAATAAAACTACCATAAAGAAACATTGAACAATATTAATTAGCCCTACTTCAATAAAACATTTCCTAGTTTTTCTTTTTTTACCTTGTTGCTGTATCCTTGCTTCTTATATTTAGCGCCTACAGAATATAGCACAGGAATCAGATCTGCAGGACAGTCAGCAAAATACTCTGTGCAGGTAACTGGTGATTCATGAATGTCCATGGGATATGGATTTTCAAAAATTGGAAAACTGAGAAAGATTTGGGAGAGTGAATTAGCATACAGTTTTAATAAAATAGATCACACATAAGCTGCTAAAAATAAGACATACTCCCAAATAATGTATGTTGATTTTCTCAAAAGCATATGTTTAATATTAGGTGTAGAATTTATATTTAAAAAGTAAGACGAATGGTCCTAATTTCTAAGAACTTTACATTAAGGAAGAATTTACACTAAACATGTAAATTGGGTCCAATGGGTTTTCTCCACTGTATTCTGGGAATAATCAGTTTTGAGGATACCGTCAGCTCTTTGTTAGATGTCTCAACTTTGTCCAGTTTGTGCTGAAGACACAAATGTGGGAATGGATGGTATCACTTCAACATGTAGTTGGTGGCTCCCATAGAATTGGAAGGGATCTTAAAGGTCTTCTAGTCCAACTCCATGCACAATGCACAATCTGCACCACAGCATTTGACTACAGCTTCACTGAGAATGTTGCTTAAGCACCTCCAAGTGAAGGAGATGATGGAATACTCATTTATGCAATGCCTCCCCGTACACAGAGAAACCCACGACATGCCTCTGTCAACCATACTGGTGAGGCATGCTGGGATCTGTTGGTTCCTTTTTCCCTTTATAGGATTGTGCCCTTAGATGCTGAGGTGGAGGGTCCTAGCTTGTCGTTCATGCCATGCTAATTTTCTAAGTATATTCAGGTGCATTCAATCATCAAAGACTCTACATGCAGCCTTAGGTACTACAGCCTAGATCCAAGCTTACTACTTCAATAAGACTGACTGCTTTGGCTAATCTTGTCTTACTGGTGGTGTAGTATGTTAAGATCATTTTAGTAGTACTCATAATTGAACTTTTTTCTTATAAACTGTCTTGAGGGTCTGGTTCAGACCAGCTAAAGGTAAAGGTTTCCCCTTGACGTTACGTCCAGTTATGCCTGACTCTAGGGGTTGGTGCTCATCTCCATTTCCTAGCCGAGGGAGCCAGCGGTTGTCCACAGACAGTCTCCGTGGTCATGTGGCCAGCATGACTAAACACCGAAGTGCACGGAACACTGTTTACCTGCCCACCAAAGTGGTACCTTTTCATCTACTTGCATTTGCATGCTTTTGAACTGCAAGGTTGGCAGAAGCTGGGACAGAGCAACAGGAACTCACTCCATTGTGCAGATTCAAACCAGCGACCTTTTGATCAACCAGCCCAGCAGCACAGCAGTTTAAACCACTGCGCCACTGCAGTCCCTGCTAGCAAGGTAGAAAAACCCAATGGCAGGGTAGAACTAAGAAAAACCCTCAATTGCATCAATGCAATCCTAGGGTTCTTTTGGTTGGGAGCCATGCAAGTTAAACAGGCTTGAAAGTGGTGGGGAGTGTAGACAAGCCCTGACATAAACAGGTTCAATAAAAGAAGTGGAATACAACTGTGAAACACTTCATCCATTACAAAGATGCAATGAAAGAAAAAGGATCAATGTGACAAAAGAAATTAATGTCTGCTTTTCTTATTAATAGCCTAAGTACGGTGGAGCCATTTTAAAATACATCCTTCATGCGGAAAAGAGTTTGAGGGGTAGCTCTCTTGTGACTATGAAGAGCTGCACATTTTCCTTGCTCTTAGCTGAGAAGGCACTTTTCCTGACAGAATCAAAACTTTGAATCTATCCAGGCTTTCTCAGTCTTTTTCCAGGTTCTTCAAGTGTCCAGTAAAAGCCTCATCCGGAAGCACCATCAGTCATATGTGAGCGGTGCAGTTAATCACCCTGTCTTTGCATCGTTATGTTGCATCGTTATGACACAGCTAGCTCTATCACAGGAGGCAGATCATCCTCACAGTAAGTGAAATCAACTGTTATCTGACTTTGGTTAGCTTTAACTATGTCTGCATGTAAATAATTTTTTGCTACTTTCTGCTTCTTTCATGTAATGGCAATGTTTGGGCACATCCACACTGGTGGCACACACAAAATGTGGTGGGAAGCATATTTGCTCTTTTCTTTGCTTTAGAAATCACTGATCCCAACAGTGTGATTCCACTGAACACAGATTCTATAGTATCGAACATTTATCTTCTAAAAATGTAACCTCAAATAAAAATGTAACCTCTTTTATATTTTATATTTTTATTTATTTTATATTGTTAATTTTAATTTTATATTGTTATTTTTGTATTTTATTGTATTTTATTGTGTTTGTAAGCCGCCCCAAGGCTTCGGCAAGGGGTGGCATAGAAATGTTCTAATCATAATAATAATAATAAAAAATATCCTTCCTATACCTCTTTAATCGGTGCAAATGAAATCAAAACAAAACTTAAAACCAAAAAAGCTACTTTAAACATACTTTTACAGCATGAATTAGTGTCAACACTAGTTGTATTTTACATACTGTTTGGCTTTGTTTTATTCATGATATCTTGTATTTCTAAACTTGGTTAAAAATAATACTGAACAACTTGTTATTTTTTCTAATAATGAATCATAAATCATGCAGAATGTATACTTACTTGCTCTGAGTCAGGTCAATGACAATGAGATCTTTTTCCAACAGTACAACTAGAGCATAGGGTTCTTGAATTTCTAAGATCCAAGCACAAATATTAGTGAACTGGGACACTAAATGAAAACCGAATTATATTGCTGTTCTAAGTAATCATAAAAGGAATGCTTTCCAAGAGAATACCCAAATAATTTTCCACACTAGGAGACATGTTATTTACTGAGATTTTTAATCTGGATTGGCTTCAGTTGCAAGGAACTTACAGGCAGCTGCTAGGAACTGAAACTGCATTCAGTTTTCCACTCTGTCACATTATTAGAATGACGGAGTGGCTTAAGTCTGCCTGGAACACTGACAGGAGAGGCACATACTCTTGCATGTGCTATCCTGATCACAGAGAGTGGGACATCAAGAGGGTAACAGACACCTTCTAGGAGCATGGTGCTGCATGGGTATTCCCTCCCACACAGTTTGGCAAACCCACATATTCTTACAGCCTCATGGACAACAGACTTCAAAACAGTAATTGTTGATAACAACCATGCCACCCAAATCAAACATATTGAGCTTGACTCAATAGAACTTATTATTTGTAAACTCCTTGCTCCACCACTGAGAAGACTGAGAAAACTTTAGAAATTAACGTCAGGTTTTTCTGTCCCTGCATCTGCTCCATGACCACTGCGTACAACACACTCACCATTTGGGTATGGAGTTTCACAAAGAGTTAAAAAGTCAACAATGGGATGATCCATTTCAAGCACTGTAATTGCTTTCCCATGCATAATCGTCAGACTTGGCCTTCTCCAAGGTTTGTCATAAGAGAGTCCACCAGAAAAAATTATAAAAGGGTCACTATATTGGAAAAATAATACAAGAGTGTGATCATTTTATGGTTTTGCACTGACTTTCAGTCCAAACTTTTTTGCAAGCTGGAAAAGAGAACTCAGGTGATTTTATTATTTATTTATCATTGATTATAGCTTTTATCTGCCCAATAGCTGATGTTCTGTTTGTAACCAGTCTGTATGCTTTAATTTATTCATTTATTGTAAATGATTTTAAGGAAAGAAGTCTGCAAAAAGCAGTGTATGTAAGTTGTAACCAATGTTTAAACACTCACACCTACCTTCTTAGGGTTCTTGAACTGAAAAATTATGACTTCACTATTACATTAATACATCTGCCTCATGAGTCTGCCCACAGGGAAAGGCAAATAGGGAATGTCCATTGAAATGCATTGGTTCCTTCTGAACCCCCTAGGAAATTACTGGGAAGTTTTACAGACCATCTTCAAATCCAAACATGTGCAAGAGATGAACATTTGTTCTTAGAAAGGAATTTGAAATGAAAATACTTCCTTACAGAGTAGTTTTAGGGAGCAAAGTTTAGTATTATGGCTATTTGAAAGGAGGGGCCATTGCTATGGAGCAGGTGTGGCATCAGAATGCTTCAGGATATGCATAACACTCCTTCTGCATACTCATTGAAAATGTTGGGACTTTTCTATGTGCTCTCAGTCTAGAGCCATTCTATGCTTTCAATCTATGGCCATTCAGAAGCATATCTGAATATTATGGCCATTGTTATGGATTATGCAAAGCAGTAGCAATCTTGGGATGCCTAGAGGTACTCTCTTCCTTTTTTCCTGGGGCTGCTTGTTTGAGTCCAGTACATTGCCATGGCCATTCAGCAACACAGCTGAATATGCTCACCGTTCAGAAGAAGAGGGGCTTGCTAGTAGCCCTGGGAAGCTTGGCTTTTTTGCAGGCACTCATTCAGTGCACTTATACCGGTGTTCATATGGTTCCCTGTGATGAAATCATTCCAAACCTATTCCATTTGGAAGGATGGCATTTGTTTGGGGAAGGGCAAGGGGTTCTGGCAATCATGGAAATAATCCTAGGCATGGTATTTGTTTCTTTGTTTTCTGAGGGGAGGAAGCCATGTCTGATCCATTTGGAGAGGGTGCCAGTGGATCAAACTGCAGTCACTTTTGTTCAATGCATTTTGATAATTTTGATTCTGCCTATTTAGAGATGAACCCTTAAAACCTCTGCATTAGGGGTCTTTGGAATTACCGTATTTTTCCGTCTATAAGATGCCCCCATGTATAGGATGCCCCCCCACTTTTCTTACTGATCTCCAAATGAGCAAGCAAGCTGCTGCTGCGCATGCACGCCCGCCGCCTCCCCACACACCTGCGCCGGTCTCCCCCCCAGCGCGCCCACAATCGCGCATGCCTCTCCCCGAGCACACCCCCCCAGCACCCCTCCACAATCACACCCTTCTCCCCACGAGCGCGCCCCACCTGCACCAGTCCCCCCCCCCCCAGCACGCCTGTGGTTCTCCTCTCGGCCCCCTGTGTATAGGACGCCCCTCCATTTTAAGGTAAATATTTTAAAGAAAAAGTATCGTCTTATACACAGAAAAATAACGGTATTCTCTATCAGCACTCTGTAAGGCAGTATTTCAATTTGGACCTATTTTCTGAGAAAATATTCTTAGAAAATATTTTCTATTCTTAGAAAAATATCTAATTGCAAAGGCCATTTGGTGTCCTTTTTAACACTGTCCATCTAGCCCAATAAGCAGCTCAATCATCCTTTGGGATAGAACAGACTCTAGCTTTAACTATCTGTGAGGAGCCAAAAACTTTTTAGGAGGGCTACTTCCCAGCACTGGAGCATTAACTTCTTTTATGAGTCTGGGATCCTCTGCCGCGAAAGCACACCACACTGAGCAAAAGCCCCTTCCCTAGCAGGCTAATAATATGGGAAAGCAAACATCTAACATGGCAGGATATCTTATCCTTTGCTAGCGTGGCAGGGCTCCTGCCAAATCAATTTAGAATGGATCCCTAAGTTTATTCAAACAAAAACCTAGCCCCATAACTTTAAATGCATGTATTATAATCTCTCTCTTTCCAATAATAGTTATGAAAGATTGTCAGTGTATTATAGAACAGACCCTCAAGAGGATATATAAATTTAAAACGTTCTAAATGTTTTATTGCATAGAGAGAAGAGAGAAGACTTATGCAGGGTGGATATTCCTCAGCCTAGCCCTAGCTATATCTTGGAATCAGCTTGGTTTGGCTATTTTCTCCCAGCTGATAAGGTATCTGTAAAAGTTCTCCTCATAAAACAAGCTAGGGGATTTCATGTAAAAAACTTACTCTGTTATACTTGAATCAGCAATGAATGAAAAACCAATGTTCAAAACACTACGTTCCTTTCTTCCCTCATCTGTTTATTTATTGTTTTTCTTTTCCTCCTGTCCTCCAGAATGCTCAGGGCCACTTACACAGGAGTCTGTCATATCATCCTCACGAAATCCTGTGAAGCAGGGCAAGTGATAAAGCGCCATGACGCACAGAGCCAAGTGCATCTTGGCTTCAGCTGTGTAAACCAAGAATTTGATCAGAGTATTAAGTGAGGGTGGGGGTTGTGCTGAACTCTTTCATGGAATGAAGATCAGCTAATAACTGTCACTCCTAAGCTGCTTTTTCTTCCACGGGGAAAATGTAAATTGACTTCATACCTTTCCCTGGTGGGTGAGAAAATAACCTGAGGGACTATGTTAGGGGAAAGGGCCATAGGGAAACAGTAAACATCCTTTGTGTGAAGCATATAAGGGAAATATTATTTTTCCACTTTTTTATTTAATAAAGTTCTAGCCAACTTCTTTGATCAATAAGTTTCCCAGGACAACAAAAAATGCCCCTGTCCAAAATGTAACAGTGATAGGAAAAAATAAAATTTATTTCAATGGAAGCAATATAGTATATTGTATAGTATATTGTATATTGTATAAAGAAAAGCAGGAAAAGGGTAGTGGAGAGCACCATGGAAGCAAACCTTATTTTTTCTCAGAAGACAAGGGCACCCAGAAGAAAATCTCTAAGATTGGGCAATTTGGCATAAGAGAAGACAGTCAGCAAATGGCTGGGTAGTCTAGAAAAGCTAGCCTAGAACCCATCTACCTGACCTAGTAATTTTCTATGAGCAAGAAGTTAGCTTACACTGCAACAATCCAGTCATGAGCCCCACCATTGGAGTCTTGGGCAGAGATTTATCACTTCAGTAAGAACTATTGAATCAATGGCCTAGGGAGGCTGTGGGCTGTCCCCCACTAGAGGCATGCAAGATGCAATGGGGCAGCCATCTGAGAGGGATGGTTTAACTTGGTGTCCTGCACAGAGCAGGGGTTGGACCCGCTGCTCCTCTGGCCCCTTCCAATTCTACTATTCTATGATTCTATGTCTAGGCAGGTAAGTCTCCATGGTCAAAATTCATCACTCTTTCTATTATATCACATTAGCTGAGCAGTGTGTTCTAACAGAGGCTTCTTTGAAACACTGGGTTCTCTGAAACACCTAAAAACAAAATATTAATTTACTATATAGTTTTCCAATGGGCCTTACATACAGAGCGACCACTGACTTATTAATTGAAAATTATAAACTTTCTAAATGAAAAGAAGAAAATAAAAGCATCCTAACAGCTTAATATGCATTGATTTCAGCAGAAACAAGCCATTGTAGAGTGACCCTTGCTATCTCCTTCGTATGAGAAAGATTTTTTACTTACCTGTTTTTACAGGTCTTGTATTCTACTTTAAGAATTGGTTTACAAGATTCAACTTTTTTTCCATCCCGGTGAATTTTACCTATAAAATTAAAAATTCTTATGAAATACAAAGTTATTTTCCTCTAAGACCAGTGCATTCATGTAGTAATTCTGCTGTTGTTCTGTACTGTCACTTTGGAGAAAACATATTTGTCTGAAAAACAGGGCAAAATGCACGTATGAGCACGCATATGACAAACCACCAACCCCTACTGATAATCTGCTTCCTTTAGGGTTTGGTGGAATGGGAGCAGGGAACTGGTTCCACTGTAGCTTTTTTCAAACATCAAATCCTGTTGAAATGTTTTGATGTTGATGGATCAGAACTAGTGGAAAAGAAAGAATGGCTCCTTTGGCCACCAGAAACAATAGCCCACACAGTATTTAGCCACTGACCGTAAGTTCACAATTATGGCCACAGCTTTGTATGTCGTAAAAGCATTTTATACGTACTAGCAGTGCCTTGAATATCTTACCATGTGGAATGATTATCTGGAAAGGTCTGCTGGGACTTTTGAGATTCCACAGCGTCAAGCTGCCATCCGAATGACTGCACATAAAGTGCTTCCCTTCATTATGCCATCCAATAGAATGAACAGCCTAAAAGAAATGTTAGCAATAACAGATAGAAGAGAGCATATGCATGAGTGAGCAAAATTAAGAATGTGTAAACACAACCATCTAAATTTTTCATCAACTAGTTCTAGGGAAGTTGTACATGTAAAACCGCATTATAACAATATAATGATCTAGTAAAATAATAACAAAACAGCCCACATCCTATTAACCTTCTAAGATGCTTGTAGCCATAAGATAGCCAGATACCAGGCCATTTAGGGCTGAAAGTTTATCATCATCAATAACCAAGATTAATAAAACTATGTGAGTAAAATGAAATTAATTATCATGTATCTTTTTTCTTCCTTTAAGAAACACAAATAAATATTTAGCATCTCAACAATTCAGGTGACAGGCTAGCCTTTAAGGTAAAGATTTACCCTAGAGTAAAATTAACAATATAATGCTACTTTATATCTCATCCTATTCCATGTGTAGAAATATTTATAGTACAATTCTATGCATGTTTACCCAGAAATAGTTTATTCCAACTGTGAGCTTACTCCTAAGTAAAAGAGCACAGGATAGCAGCTTTTAGTGGACAGGTATGATTACATTTAAAAGCGAAAAAGCCATTCAAGATGACAGTCTTTCTGCAAATGGACAGCCAAAAGGCCTAAGAAGCTCAAGAACAGGATGAAACAGTGGTTTTCATGTGCGTACAAATAATTTCTTGTCTCTTTTCCAAGATAAAAGTAAGACACTGCTTACACTACTACTTGCTTCATGTATTTATTTATTTAAACATGTATACCCCACCTATACCAAAGGTCACAAGATGGTGTTACAATAGAGCAGCACAAGAATATGAACATGCAATAAAACCCTATCTTTAAAATAAGATTAAAGTTTAAAATATTGGGTAAGTAAAAAGGTTTTGGCCTGGCACCGAAATGAATAAAGTACTGGTGCCAGGTGCACCTCTCTGGGAAGCAGGTTCCAAAGCTAGGGTGCTACTGCCAAAAAGGCCCTTCCCTGGGTAGCCATTCTTCTGATTTCCTGACAAAGGACCTCAGAGGAGGATCCAAGGGCTCAGTCAGATGTGTATGGAAAGACATGCTCCTTCAAATATCCAGGTCCTAAACAATTTAGGGCTTTATACGTTACAGTTAACACCTTAAATTAGGCCTGGACTTCAACTGGTAGCCAGTGCAGGTGGCACAGGACTGGAGTTATGTGATCTCACCTGCCAGTCCCTGTCAAAAGCCTGGCTGCTGTATTTTGAACCAACTGAATTATCTGGACTGTCTTCAAGGGCAGTCCCATGTGGAGAGTATTACAATAGTCCAATTGTGAAGTTACCAGAGCGTGGCTAGATTAAACCATGCCAATCAAATCTTTGTTAGACTGGCAGTAGATAATGCCAGTAAATGTTGGACTGAAAAATATATGAGGAAATGACATGAGGGAGGATATATGTCATGGAGTAAAGGACAAGGGCTGAATGCTCATTTTCACTGAAGTGGAAAACTTCCACTGGAATTCTGTTATGCCATTACTGGTGTGGCTCACATGACTGGTACACCATTCACACAGAATACTCTCATGAGGAAAGAGTTCTCTCCCTGGATTTTAAATCAAGGTGCATGCCATCATTTGAGCTCTCAAAGCATCCGAGATAAAGTTAAATGAAAAAGTAATATGTGGATCATGGTCTCCCTCCAAAGAGTTAGGAAAGCTCAATGCATGCAGGTTTTCCCACTTTATCTCCATGAAATATGGAGGGCTATAAGAGACTGACAGGCCAAAGGGAGCTTCAAACAAGGCTATGGAGGGTTTTGCGCTCACACTTACTCACTCTGTTGGCTCTGCCATTCAGCCTAATAAAGGGGGCCATGAAATAAGATAAGTATTACAGATCTAGGGAGGTTGAGCTACATATATACTGTTGCAAGTAGTTGTTGTGATTATCTTGTGTACATTTGAACTCTGCAGAGAAATGTCATAACCTTTGTTTTTGCTGGAGCAGTCTAGCACACCTACACCTCTGGAACAAACATAATAAATCAATCATTGTTTATATTTTAGAAACTAGACCTGCTTTAACTAGATTTATTTTTCAAGACCTTTAGCACACAGGCTGGGTTTTTAAGGAAAATACAAAATAGCTTACCTCATCATAGTAAAATAGCTTACCTCATCATAGTATACTCTTAAATCTGCTCTTTTTGATCTCAAATCCCAGAATACCACAGTCCCATTTTCATAGCCAATCAACAGCTGAGTGTTAAAAAGCCAAATTTGATCAGGTTCTCATTTTGAATGTCAGCATTTACAGTGACAAATAAGAGTTCATCAATCAAAAAACCTGTCTTTTGCTAATTTACAAAGAATTATTTTTTTTCATTGCAGGCAATACTGCAACTGAATCAACTGAAGATACCTAGTGGACATTATATATTAATAAAATATCTAATTATGCCATGTGCCCATTATATCTGCTGATTATTATTATTACTACTAATACTGCGATTGGAGGAAAACAGGCTTTAACTATTCTGAAAAGAGGGTAACTGGCTTGTTTTAGGGAGTAAGAGAGTCACAATTATTTCAATATTCCCAAGGTCTGTTCAAGACTTTTCAAATGCTGAGCAAAATAATTAATGGATCCAGAGCTACTTTATGTTATAATCATTATCTGAAATTTTAAACCAATACTTGTATTGGTATTTGGTGTAACAATTTTATTGTTTAAGTTTACTAAGTTTTATGAAAATTGATCAAAATTTTATGCACAGCTAAAAACCTACTTAAAAACCACCAATACATGGCAAAATCCACAAATATTTGCTACATCTGCCCATTACAATTTAATGAAATCTTGCAGCAAAATTGTGTTTTGCCTCAGACATAATATGTAATATATGTAATACACTTCACCTAACATGATACATACAATATTTCAAGAATTCTTACATAAGGGTTTTTTTTTTTTTTTCAAGTTTGAGTTGCCCAATTTCTTGGAACAAAACTACTAAGAGAAAATACTTTAGTTTCATTCTTACTCACTTTCCCTTCGTCTCTTGGGCTATCACTCAAATGCACAACAGGCCCAGGATGAGTCTTTGTGGACCTGCAAGTAAAACCAACACTATTAAAACTGTGTAAAATGAATTTTTATCTTTGAGACTAAGTAGGCAATATTAGAGGAAGTCACCTGACAATTGTGGATGTTGTTATATAACTGACTGGATGGGGAAAGTGGGAAATGCATTCATTGGTTTATATCCACATTTGGTTAGAGAAAATCTATTCAAAGTGATAAGCCATGACTAAGTTCCATTGATTCTAGTGGGTCTATCTGTAGCTGAAACTAAATCTGGATCTAACCCATTGTCCTTTCCAGAGATCAGAAAACAGTCAATATAATATGCACAGCCACACAATTCAAGAGGAGTTAAGAAATTACAGCCCTACCAGCCTAACCTCTGTCTTAGGGGAATGGATGGGAAGCACTATTAAAGAATATACAGAAAAGAAATCCTTGCTGGAAAAGATTAGCATGGCTTCTACAGTGAGAAGCCCGGCCTCACTCAACTTTTTAGAACCCTTTGAAGTGCCAACTAATGCCATAGTTGATAACACTGTTTGGTTACACTATGTGTATTGCATTTTAGTTTACTTAAAGAATTTCATTGAGACAATTGCCATTAAAATAGTAAAACAACCAACCAATAGGCTCATCTCATTAAGCAATTGATTAATATGAAGGGGTTGATCAAATCTGGTCACCAAGTAATCACCCATTTTACAGTCGCTACAGCCTGCCCAACTATTCCTCCTGTGCTGGCCCTGTCTTTCTCCGTGGCTTTCTTCTGCCTACACCTTGCCTGGCTCCACCTCCTCTGCCTGCTTGCTTTCTTTTTGGCATTGGGCCTTTTTCCCTACTGCCCCTTCCCTCTTCTCTAGATCTTCATTTCACTCAAACTCTCACTGTTTCTAAACACCTGGGATATTTTCCTATTCCCCCTCCACTCCAAATTCTTTTGAAACCTCCCCTTCTCTCTTTGCCCCTGAGATTTGTGGATGTTTATTTGTTTTCTGTTTCTCACATTCCAATGTCTTGTTCTTGTGTGCATGCGAGTTTTGTTTTTGCTGTTTTGTTTTATTTTTCCCTTCTCTGCGTATCCCCAATGCCTTTCATCTCTCTGTGTATCTGGGCTTGCCCATGCGCATGTCCTCCCTTCCTCCTAGAAATCTCCAAGACTCTGTCATTTGAAGCAGCTGTGCCTTGATCTGCCTAATGCTCTGGCCAGTCCTCAGTGATGGGTGTGTGTGGTGAGTTTGGGGTGTGCCATTAGCAGGTGGCAAAATGACTTGGGCTTGCCTTGGTCCCAGACTTAGACATATCATGCAGGTGCATGGAGCACTTGGTCAACTGCCAGAACTAGGGGGCAGGAGACAAAGAGCATGCACAATCACATTTCTGCTTCATAGATTAGCAAACAATTTTGGTGCTAGTGGGATGGACTAATATCGTGCAGGAGACAGAGACAGACTGAACAAATACAACCCTGTTGATTTTCCTGGATCCCTTAGCAGCTTACTGTGTACCTTGAGACACTGGGTGAGGGGGCCATTTGCTGATCTGTTTCAGGCACCAAAATGTCTTGGCCTCACGTTGCCTGTTGTAAGGGGCCTGAGGCACACCATGTGGCATACACAGCTCTGTCCCACCACCGCATCTGCTTCGAAGGTAGCCACCCCGCTTGGCCCAGTCTTAGAGCAGGTCCTGCTTCCTCTCCACTTTTCCTGGGTGCTCATGCCCCCTTCCCACCCAGAGAGCTCTCAAAGGGGCCTGAAGCAGGAGCTAGCAGTGGAGGCACCTCGCTTGCTGTGTGCCATCCTCTTCAAGGCAGTCATTTCTACGAAACAGCATAACAGCAGGCTGCCTGGGGATATGAGCAGGTGGCATGATGTGCAAGGGCAGGGGGAAATGCAGCCTTCACGGGGTGTTCATTCTTTTTCCCTGCCCCCCCCCCCACACAGAAGAAAAACCCTTTCCTTGGTGTGTTGTATTCACTGATCAAAAATCACTGTTTAATTAAGACCCCAGATAAGACTATTTCATGTTGGCTCAAGTGATATCAAGACAAAAACTTGGAAGCTGAGGTTGATTCCTAAACTGATGTGCCCCTGGAGTTATGGGGGCACAGATTAGAGTCGGTGTCCTGGATGTTATAAAGGTGCTGGATCCTGATGGGTTACACCTGGGACAACCTGAAGAATTGGGAAGGGCACTCTCACATCCGTTGGCCTTCATGTTTGAGGCCTTGTGGAAATCAGGAGAACTACCAGAGGACTGGGGATAGAGGCAGTGATTCCATTCTTTGAAAAGGGTAGCAGAGTTGACAAGGGGAATTACAGGCCAGTTAGCCTTACATCCATTCTGGGAAAGATGATGGAAAAGCTCAAAATAGGGAAAGCTCTAGAAACCCTGGATAGGGAAGGCGCGTTAAAAACTTCTGAGGCGGGCTGGATAAATGGTCATGGTGGGCCGGATCTGGCCCCCGGGCCGTAGTTTGAGGACCCATGCTCTAAGGCAGGGCTCCTCAAACTTTTTCAATAGGGGGTCAGTAAGACGGGATTGGGTGCGCAAGGCAGTGGCTCGCCTGCTCAGAGGTCTCCCAGCGAGTCCAAAACCATCTCCAAGCAAGCAAGCCCCACCTCCCCACCTGTGTGGCGAAGCGAGCATGCGTGCGGCCGGCAACACAAGCCAGATAAATGGCCCACCATGCCCATTTATCTGGCCCACCATAGAGGTTTTGGGGGCTTGCACGTGCGGAGATTGTTTTGGACTCACTCAGAGAAAAGGATCTCCTTGTGAGTAAGCCAATGCCTTGCCACGCGTGTGTGCCCCCCCCACCCCGTCCCGGCCTGCGCCCCCTGCCCGCACCACCTTCGTGACCCATGCCCATTGCCAGCACCTTTCAACTGGCCCCCTGTTAAAAAAATTTGAGGACCACCGCTCTAAGGGATCAATATATATGACACATGCCAAAAGCAGGTTTAGTGACATCCTCTTTACTATGTAAATTGTTGCATCCACACTGCTGTAAAATCGGGAAATACCCCTAAGAGAATTCTTGATTAAATATGAAATCCTAAACCCCATGCAACCCAGTGATCTCTCAGTATAAGGATAATTTAATTATCTTTGAGCCTTCCCAGATGGGAAAAGACAGGCCAGGCCATTAGTAATTAATGAATGGCTCTTTACTCTTTACTGATAGGAGAAGAATCGAAGCAGTAAGTGCTAGGTTTTGTACGTGGGGCTCCAGGAGGTCGGAACTCGTATTATAGTGACATGAAACCATAAAAGCAATTAGGTGATCATAAATACAGGCATGTAAACAGATAACAGGAGGGAGCTTCTCAGAATGGAGTCAGAGAAGTAATTCCTGTATCACATCTCTAACATGTCATGAGATTCTAAAATGTTTTATACAAATGTTGTTTATGTTATGTATGTTATTTATAAATAACATTTATACTGATTGTCAGTAAAATTTTAGTGATATTTAGATATAAATATCACCAAAAATAGATTAAAAATAAAATGTAGCTGTTGGAATGTAGTTTAATGAGACATAAATAAATGAAGTGAAAACCATGTAAGCCTCTTAAATAGCCCCCAGAAAGTATATAAAGGAGATCTGAAATATGCACCAGGGTCTTGCTTTTGGATCCACTACCTCCAGTGTGTTGTCTATAAACTCTAGGGATGTATACAGGGAAAGCCAGCTTGTCTGAACTTGATGGATTTCCCGCCTACCTCTAAACTCATATTGGAAGCAGGCCAAGTCAGATCTCTTGTGCAGATTCCTGCTCACACCTTGTGCATTTTTGAAACTACTAATGATTGTCATGTAAAGTGCAATTCGCCCAAATTGCCTGATTCTGCCACATGTTCTTCAGGAAGCAGCTAGGCCAGGACTGGTGACTGGAGAAGTCCTGAGACTTTTTAGATCCTGACATTTCTGCTCTCCCCACCCAGCAGAATATACTCTTTCTTCCTTGCCCCTTCTTGGGGTTGCATTTATGACCCCAGGAAGCAACTAGCATGCTTCGTTCTGCAGTAGTTGGGGAAGGATTGGATTCCAGTGTGCTCCTTCAGAGGTCACTACAATGTCTATGTCCTAGGAGAAGGTCTTCTAAAGAAGCCAAAGGCTCCTGGAACACTGTCCAGGTGTCATAAGATTCCACTCTGTGTTTACTTAATTCACAATAAATATCCTGATCCAGCTATTTGGACCCACATTTCTAAGTAGGTTTCTACATGGGTATTTCTCTTAGATTAAAATGTATGAGCATAAAGTTTTAACAAAGACAGTGAAGAGGACTGCATCTTTCTACTCTTGTATGGTATTAATTTAACAGTACCTCTGCTGCAAAGAATTGCATTTAAATGTACTGCAGTGTGCTGCTTTCAATGGGACACACATTCTACTTTACATTGCCATCCATGCTGTGGTGCAAATAGAGCTGGTTCAGGCCAAGAATTATAAACACACACACACACACACACACACACACCCTTCAATGCATCTTATAAAATAGTCAACAATATCAGCAATTAAGAAACAGCTGAAAACTCACAGTTCTATTGCCTTGTTCCACATGATAACGTATCCAGAAAGTATGAAGGACTCAATATTTACAATATGTGTATTTCCCCTCTCTGTTCCAACGTAGAGCCATTTGCTTTGGAAAGGCAAATGACAGAAAGTGATCCTGTATTGGGGGAAAATAAAATAATAATAATAATTTTAAAAATCAGCTGACCTGAATTGAGCTATTACCTCATAGTTTCAGTTTCAAATGGTATAGGATTATCTTCCTCCAGAGTAGGATCACACCGGTGATACTCTCAGAATCTCATTTCACACAAAAAGTACTAGGTAAAATTACCCAATTTGGCCTCCATTGCCTTTTTCTAACCTAGTGCATCTGAAATTGACTTCAGTTTTTGAATATAAAATCTCTGTGGCTTCTCTCCACTTCCCTTTCCACCTATTAAGGAGTCTTCGTACTTCTGTTAAGGTTTTAAATGCAGATAAAACTAGGATGGCTCTGCAGAGAAATCTGCCCAGAAGACATTTGGTATGGGAAATCTCTGGAAGAGTGCGGTCAAGTGACGTCTAGTCTGAAAAAGCAGGATACCTACTGACAGGGCTTTTTTTGTCATAGAATGCACTGGAACAGCGTTCCGGCACCTTTTTTTGACGGATTTTTCCATGTGATTGTGAATCGCCCTGTCGGGTGTAGCAGGTTGGCAGCAAAAAGCATTAAAATAGTGCCTGCGGGCTGCGTGTGTGTCCATGGTGCTTGTGAGGGCGCTGCTCAGCTCGGGACACTGCTCAGCTTCGGATCGGTCGTGTGGTTGCGCGCTGAGTGCTTACTGCCGGTGGCGACCATTATGTTCATGTGTGTGTAGAGTGACTGGCTACATGGAAAAGGTAAATAAGTTCTTTATTTCAAAAAAAGTTGGTGAATTGAAAATCTCTTTTAGTGTAAAAGTGTGACCCCAAGAGGTGAGTTCCGGCACCTTTTTTTTTTTTTTTTTTTTTACAAAAAAAGCACTGCCTACTGGATACCTGTTTTGTGAACTTTGCAAAGAAACAGGTTGCCCCAGCATGGTGTTGAGGAAACGATTAACTAGAACAGTGGTTTTCAACTGACGGTCCGCGGAATGGCGCCGGCCCACCAGCATTTCCTGCCAGTCCAGGGAGGCAGCGGTTTGCTCACTCGGAGAAAATGATCTCCAAATGAGCAAGCCGCTGCATCATGTGCCTGCGTTGTGGCCCATGCACACTGCCAGCACCACCTTTCCAGCCCACGCCCAGCACCGGCACCTTTTGACTGGCCCCCTGCTGAAAAAGTTTGAGGACCCCTGGGTTAAGGACTGTAAATGATTGCTGTGTCCCAAGTTACAAAGCACCCTTGTTGATAAAGGTGAAATGGCAATCAAGAAATGTAAACTTGCTTTGTGTTCCAAGTGGAAATAGAAATGTGCCTTGTTTTCCAAAGCAGGAATGTATGTAACTGTGCCATGTGTTTCAAAACACAAATACAAATGTTCTTTGTCAGTTTTACAAGAGAAGTTAGTTGTACTAGGAGTAAAACTGTTAAAACAGTCAGGATGAAGAAGGAATGTCAGAGGTGTACAAAGAGTGTTAGATTGCAGCTGTTCTTTGTTACTACCTCTTAGTGGTATCATCCTCCTGTATGCAAGATAATAAAGCTTCCTGTTAGTATTTTTGTGTGGCAAGTACTTTTATTTTGTAAGGACCTTGGGATCAAGCAGGAGGAGTAGGCTCCAGCTTCTCCTGGGACTAGATGGGAGTCCCACAACAATGGTCACTAGTAATATATAAAGAGAAAAAGCAAAAGCAGTGGTTCTATCAACATAAAAGAGCAGAACATGGCAAACCCGTGAGAAATTTCTACATCATGCAATGGGAATAAAGGAAGACCTTTCCACCAATCCTTGGGTAGCTGAAATAGCAAGTGGGTAGGCTTTTAGGGATGACAGTGCTAAACATTGGTACTCCAGAGAGAGGAGGACATCCATGGCATGCTGTCTCCTTGGCAGAGATTCACTTAATAAGGAGAAAGTTTGTGAATCTCACATATTTGCAACACAAAAGCTTCAGGTTTTTGGCTTCCTAGCTGCATCCAGGGCTTGTTGAACCTCCTGCTGTAAGAAGCATTTGCCATGTTGTAAGGCAAAGAGTGGTAATGTCTGAGTGCTGCACCCAAACACTGTCAAATGTGAACGGGTTGCCCCAGAGGAGATGCTGATATGTGCTACCCAACATCAGAAGCAGAGTGGTGAACCACCAGTGACTGTTCTACCACTGAGGAACAAGAAAAGAGTCTAGATTGTTGACCTGGAGCTTTGAAAGGACCCTTGTCACTGTGGGGGTGGGGCAAGGGGGAATGCATGCACTGGGGCTTTCCCTCTATGAGAGAGAAAGTGGTCTCAGAAAAAATCCCACCCTGCTGCAGAACCTCTGCCACTAAGCATTATCCACAAGGGCCACCGTGTTCCCTAGGCAAAAGACATCCTTGAGGACACAAGAGGAGAGCTCTTCTTGGGAATGGCTGACGGCATCTCTCTGCAGCAACATTCTCAGCCTCCACTATACTTACAAGCAACTGCAGAACTCTTACCAGTCTCACAAGTGAGGCGCAGCAGTATTGTGGAGAATATCTGCACTTGCCTCTTTAGACAGAAGACTATGGAAATCCTATTGTCTATGGGGACCCTGCATGGTGCATCTGCACAGAGTTCCCTGGAATGCCTTCATGATTGCCAGAAGTTCTAGTCCACTGATATACAATGCCTGCTTCCTGATAGACCACCCGCTCTGGGGAGCCACAGTGACTCCTTGCCCTGGTCTCCAAGCAACACACCTGTGGTGACAGCCTTGTGCCTAAGGCAGGCTGGGCTGGTGTACCCTTCAGCACAAAGGTCACTGGACCTTGGAAGCCAGGTGCAGATGGACGTGGAAGTGCTCAGTCTCTGGTGAGAAGACAGAAATAAATAAATGCTGCAGAGGTCTCATCCAGTGTTGAATGAAGACAGTGACCAGTGTTGCAACTGCCAGTAACACCAGGAGTCACACTGCAGCAAGTGAGCAAACATGCAAAACTAGCCCCAGCTTAAATGGATGCAGAGAGCTGGTCCTTTGCCCAAGGAAGGACCATTTCTCCCCAGCCTAACACTGTTAACTCATCCAAGACCAGAGAGGATTTTTTCAGGACTGGTCTAACATCTCCTCTCAGTTGGCATGGCATCCCTCCCTTGGGCGAGGAGGCATTTGATCACCTCCATGATCCAGCCTCCTGTGACCTCCCTGCTGGTTTCTATAAGTCAGGAGAGACAAGGATCCAGTATGGAAGAATTTGCACGGACCTGTCCAAATGTCTTGTCCTTTAACAGTGCCAGCTGAAACCCATCCAAAAAAACTGGGCAAAACTGTACTCTGGGTACCTTAGCTGATTCACTGTCATGTATGAAGCCCCGACAGAAATAGTGGCTCATGAGGAGACCTTGCACTTGACACGCAGTGCTCAAGAGTCAACCCCACAACCCAACGCAGAGACAGCTGAGCCAGCTGCTGCGTCTTCCTCTGAGCCCCAGCACATTGAGCAAACGCCTGGACCTTTATCAGAGACAGAGAGTCATGAGAAAGAGGAAGCTGCAAGTTCTACTCAGAAGGAGGCAGAGCAAACTGCCTCTTCCCCCTCTGATGCTGATCTCCCTGAGCCGGAAACAGAAGACACAATAGGTGTCGTAGATTTCTCAAAAGCCGTAAACAGACGTTTTTTACGCAGATATGAACAGCGGCAAAGTTTATTACATAAGAGGGAGGAAAGGCGTGACTTGGGAGAATGATCCCACGTGGGCTTGGGAAGAGAAGCCATTAGAGAGTTAACATCTGCTTAGTTAGGACCGCTATTAGGGAACTTATCTATAGAGCTGTAAATCTTGTAGACAATTAGCATTAAAGGACTTTAGTTTTATCGCTCTAGGATGGGTGGATTGTTTAGTTTTATCGCTCTAGGATGGGTGGATTGTTTAGTTTTATCGCTCTAGGATGGGTGGATTGTTTACACACCGGGCTGCACGCCTCGACATTCATCTCAGTATCACTGGATCCTGAATCCTGGCAGAGGCAATAGATTTTTATCCTGGAAAAGCCAGCACATGTATGGGACCAGCATGGATGAGATCCCAGTCAATCCTGAGATGTTCCACAGAGTAGCACATTATTTTTTTGTCATCTTCACCTCCCCAAATATCCCTAATAAAGGCATGCACCAGTCTTGGATTGCCTCCACAAGGAGTTTTTCTCCATCCATACTCAAGCTGTGTCATGTTCTGTTTAATTGCTCTCATGGCCCCTACCTGAGAGGACGACTGACAGGTGACAGCATCTGCATTGGGAAACATCTAACAAACCTCTAACTTTAAATCTATAGTTTAATCAGTTTTACTGTTTTAATAAGTTTTAATTATGCAAGCTACCTGGAATGCCATATCTTGTCAGAAAGACAGGACACACATCAAATAAATACATGCATATTTACATGCATGCATACATACATACTATAGTAGGGTTGCTTATGGCCAATGTTCTGGCCTAAAATCTTATCAGCAAGGTTGAACCTCAGAGGGCAGAGGACTCAGACTAACCCAAACCCTTTACTTGGTATTACTTTATAACTTACATAGGCAAATAGGTCATTGAAAGACTCCCATCAACTTCATAAGGAATTATATGGAAGGTCTCCTTTAAATAAACGAATGTGGAAGTTATTCATTCATTTATTATTTGTGCTCCTTTTGTCAAACTGTAAGATGCCCCATGTGTTTTGCTGTCCTATTTGAATATACATTACTTGTACGAAAACTCAATAAAATATCTATATTAAAAAGGGGAGAAGAAAGCCACTTGCAGGGTCAAGTTTTCCAGAGTGTTTTCCCTGTTTTGCGGGAGATGGGCATGAGCATCTACAGAGTCTAGCCATAAATCGATACACTGGTGGTGACAAGGGCCAGATATGTGACTCCTCTGCAAACCAAGGCTCCTAAGTCGGGTACAAGTGGGTTGCGGGTTTTGACATTCCTGAGGGGGAAGAGCAACCAAGAGCCTCTTTCTTTATGTATAGGGAACCTGCAACTCCACTGAACTTAACAAGGGCAGCTATTTCATAAGCAGCCT